ATGGAGGGGATGGAGATGGAGAGAGAGATGGATAGATGAAGGGAGATATGGAGGGAGATATGGAGAGAGAGAGAGATGGAGAGAGAGAGGGAGGGAGAGAGAGAGAGAGAGAGAGAGAGAGAGAGAGAGAGAGAGAGAGAGAGAGAGAGAGAGAGAGAGAGAGAGAGAGAGAGAGAGAGAGAGAGAGAGAGAGAGAGAGAGAGAGGGAGGGAGAGAGAGAGAGAGAGAGAGAGAGAGAGAGAGAGAGAGAGAACGAGAGGACACACACACAAACACACATACGTTGCCAAATAGCCTAATCCATGCTACCAAACTGCCAAAGATACGGGGAGACTTACATAGCCCCTCTGTTGGGGAGGGAAAGGCGGGATCCGTAGCAATTTCTCTAGCTGGGCTCCTTCTGGCAGGCTGAGCGCTCGCAAAAAGCACTGTGTGCAAAAGACACATAGGAGCCGTCGCACAGGGGCACGTTGCAATGGTCCTGTCAGATCCATTGAGGGAGGCGGGGAACGAAAGGGCGGGCACGAAAGAGCAGGATCCCAACTTCTGCAAAAAAGGGGGCAGAAACACGGCTTGAAAACTGTGGTGGTCTCCTCAACGACACAGATGCACGGCGATACGGTAGGAAAGGCAGATGGGTAAAGAGAAGCACGTCTGGGAGCAATAAAGCAGCCAGCAGCGAGGTGACAATGAGATATGAAACATGTAAGGCAAAGGGTAGAGACTGTGTGTGTAGAAACGGTAAAGGATGCAGGATATACGGGAGGAGGCCAACAGAAAGGCCTACGATGTGCGAAAAAGGAGGAGTCAAAAAATGAAAGTTGTCGAAATGTTAATCCCTCGTCGTGGCTTCTCTAGGACGTACACGACGAAGCACCACATTTATGGAGTGTCTTTTTGCGGCTGTTCTCTCATCGGCGGCAATCCTTCTTATCTGTGGGTAGCAGCACTTCCCTGGACGCGTCTCTTGTCTGGCGCTTTCCCTTTTTCCTACAGGTAGCTGAACTCAAAGCTGCGGTTATTGATAGTCTTTGTTTCGGTTGCTAGTTTGCCTATTGCGTAGGATGTCATCCGGATGCAGCGTCGTGGCTAAAGTGATTCAACTCTGGACGCCGTCTGGAGAGCCTCAAGGCCCCAAACCCAAAGCGGCACCAAGTAGCAGATGCTAAGTGACCCTGTAAAAAGCTCCATTAGCCTCATCCCTACTTTCACCATGCAGGATTTTGGCGTGAGGAGAGAAAGCTACAGTGTACACTGCTGCATCCGCAGAGCTCCAAGCATTCATCAACATCCAACTGCACCTAAAACATATGCTGCAGAGTAAGCTAGTTCAGTTCAAGAAGAAGGGCTGTCTGTGCCCGTGCGCGCAGTAGCGTATGTGGAAATCAAGTCGCACAATCAATATCTGTTTATTCTTAGTCAAATAAAACCGTGCTAAAGGATGGCTTTTGCCTGGCTGTAGTACCGTTTCCACCCGAGCTGTGCGGGGGATACTCAGAGTAATTGATGAATGCAACGAGCCTAGAGACAACGAATGAGCTGAAACAAAGGGCTGTTTCCTCTGACACGGTCCAGGGTCGTGGCACAAAGCAGAATGATATGGAGGCTACAAGGTAACTCGCACATGAGCTTTCGTCGTGATCATGGAAAGGAGCATATGTTCCTAGGCCACTAAGAAAGGAAGCCACCAGTTGAATCCAGCTGCCTGACGTCTGATAAGGTGGTCCTTTCGACACCTCAATCAGTGCAAAGAGGCAGCCTCGAGCTTCTTGGCACAATGACGAGAAGAGGGTGCCCTGGGTATGTAGCGGGCGAAGCAATGCCTAGCCCTTGCTAGGATACTAGCAATGTACCATTCAGAATTAACAAAGAAGTTACCCACTGGTTTTTATGTTGGTCGTACGTATCTGTAGTGCTACGTATTCTCAGCTCTACACAAAATAACGCAACGTGTGTGTGTGTATGGCATGCGTCTTTCAAACGGCCATAAAGGCTCGAAGTATTCAGAAAGTGCAACTCCGCACTCCCTTGCTGCGCCCGTCTTCTTATGTGGGACGCCTGACGGACGGGACCACAGAAGGAGCGGAGCTACTTCCACGGGAGTCCAGTAACTGTCTTACAACTTTGTGTTGCGGTTGGAGTGCAGTGACTCCAGGGTGCACACAGCCCAAGTATTCTGTACCCGCCGAGTTCCGAGGGTGCAGAAAAGCGATTTGCTGTCGGGAGGGGGGCAAGGGGGATGGGCAAGGGTTGCATTGCCCAAGTGTACTCTACAGACGGATCTGCACTGCGTTACGCAAGCTAGGGAGGGGGTGATGAGCTGCCTCCCTGTCGCGACAATATATGAGCCGACGGACATGCAAAACAACATTTCGGCTTGAAAGCGGAAGGCAAGGAGGCACTTAAAAGAATAAACCGATGTCATCACCCGACAGATCGACAGGGGGCCTGCCAGTTGTACGGCTGAACCCGAACGCGGGCGGGTGTCCAGGGGCCCCCCAGCAGCCACCAGCTCAACGCGGAGACATGTAGAAGACGGGCGATTTTCTGCTGCTCCGAGCACTCTGTTCTCTTTTCTTTTCTTCTCGACTCATTAAATCGGCTGCTAGAGAAGTAGGACCAGACGGAGAGAGAGTCCGTCAGACACCGCAGTGTGGCGCCTCGTGCGGCCGCCGCAGCCAGGCGACCCCAAACAGGAGATGCGACGCACAGGCCCCCTGAGGACGGCAGTGCCGCTGCTGCTGCTGCTTCCCATGTTGCTGCAGCAGCAGCAGCAGCAGCAGCAGGGGTACTGCCCTTTACCGAGACTGTGGGGTGCAGCTGCCATGGGACGTCGCGGGGGGGCACCGGCAGCCTTAGGGTCTCATGCGGCACCTGCAGCAGCGGCTAGAAAGCCTCCGAACCAGAAGCAGCCTCTGCAACCAGCCAGCCTCACCTGTTCTGCTCCTTCCTGCGTACACAAGCCGCAGCTCCTCGATCAGGCCCTGCAGTCTCAGCAGACTGCTGTTCGGGTGAGTGCCATAGAGACCCTTTCGTCTGAGCAGGACGGCTGGAGAATTCGGCTGTACGTGCACACGACACATCCTCTGCCTCTGAACACCGTTCTTGCAGCCCATCCCATGCAGCACCAGCAGGGGCAAGCGCAGCAGCAGCAGGCTGCCGCATGCACAGGGCCCCCTTTCGCGGTGTCTGCGCCAGCAGCGGAGGCCCCTACGGCGAGCACGAGGAGGAGGAAATTCCAGCAACTGCAGCCGCAGAAATTGGGGGCGGGGGGGGGAAGTCGGAACTACCATTACTACTTCTCTCTTGCAGCCCACCCCGATGCAGCAGCAGCAGCAGCAGCAGCTACGGCCGCACCTCTGAGAATCCTAGCGGATGTTGCAGCGCACCAGCTGCAGCACAAGGGGGCTTCTTTGGATCTCCCGATTTCGTTGCTGCTGCTGCAACGCGCTCAAAACCTGCCTGCGGAAGTAGCGGCGAGGGCTGCTGTCGCTGTTGCTGCTGCTGCTGCGAAGACACCCTCTCTGCTGACAGCAGCAGAGGACGTGTATTCTTCCGGAGACTTCGAGGCTCGAGGAACTACCGCCTGCCGTCGAAGGGGGAAGGCCTCCTGCTGGAGGCATCCCTTCACTCCCTTGCTGCCTGAAGGTGTGCTGACTCGGCAGTTTACAGGCGCCCCTGCAGCAGCCACAACAGACTATGACCAGTCCGCTGAGCCGCTGCATGCTTCTCTGTGCCTTCACTTCGGAGGTGAGGAGAGGCCTCCACTGCCCGTAGCGCAGGTGTCAATAATTGGTGAACCTTCGACTCAGAGTCGCCAGGAACTGCAGCACGCACACGAGACACAGCAGCAGCGCGCATCGCTTATGGGGGCGACCCGAGAAAGCCACAGCGGCTTGAAGGCGCAACAGCAAGAAGAGCAACAGCTGCATCAACAGCAGCAAGAACAGCAAGAAGAGCAACAATTGCATCAACAGCAGCAAGAACAGCAAGAAGAGCAACAATTGCATCAACAGCACGAGCAACAATTGCATCAACAGCAGCAAGAACAGCAAGAAGAGCAACAATTGCATCAACAGGAGCAGAAACAGCAAGAAGAGCAACAATTGCATCGACAGCGACAAGAGCAACAATCTCATCAACAGCAAGATCAACAGCGACAAGAGCACCAACAACAACAGCGAGTGGAGGAAGGCGCAGTTCTTGGTGCCTTGAGAGACATCATTTGCGAGCTTTTAAGGCCATTTATGGCTGCTGGAGAGGCAGCGGCAGCAGCTACATCAGAAGCGCATCCGCTATTGCTGTTGGGAGCTGCCGGTTGCTGTGCATCAGCTGGTGTAGCTTGGGCGATTAGCCGCTCTGGCAGAAGTACCGCCAACCGATGTACAGGCCCCTGCTGCGCTGGTAAGGCCCTCATTCGTGTAATGCGTGTGTCGCAGTTGTTGACAGTGTGTTTCCTGCTACACTAAGGGAGACGAGCCGCATTGTTTTCAGGGCCGGTTGTGGGTTTGTCGCTATTCTAATTGCTGATCGTGTTTGCTGGCTACACACGCGCTTGTGCATCGATACATGCGATGGGTAACACCATTTTATTTGCACCCATCGTCGGCTCGTGTTGCTGCAGGCGTTTATGAGCCGACCGCCATCCCCAGCAGTAGCAACACAGCTGCAACCGTTACAGCGCAACAGCAAGCAGAAGCTGAAGCAGCAACACTCAGACATCCTGCGCCTAACGCCCCCATTGCAACTGTCCTATCGGCAGATCAACTTTGGCAAGGTATGGCTCTTCCGCAGCAGCCGGAAACATGGCAACCCAGAAAGAGAGGAGCGGCTGCAGCTGCAGCGGCAGCCGCTGCGGCTGCCGGCCTCGTTCCCAGCCAGGTCGTGTATGACAGCGTGTGGCTGCCAGCAGAGAGCGGATGGTAGAGCCATGGTACTCACGCCTAAAACAGTGAATATATCTGCGTACTGGTTCTAGGTATACACACTGAACTTTTCCCTGCTGCCAATGGCGGTGCAGGAGAACCTGAGCTGCAGCTGCAGGAGCAGCTGCAATGCAGACGGAGAGAAGTCTACATCTTTTCAGGCAATAGGGGTGGCCTGCAAACAGTTTTGCGGCGTTTGTACACCAGAGCAATGACTATGTCTTCGCACCTTATCCTGCACTGAGCAATTTACGGTTCCAGGGGTACTAGGTTTTTGTCGCAGTGATGCTTCAAAGCAAATTTAGTGGGCTGTACTGCAAAATACGGTAGACTGAGCAATTTACAGTTCTGGGGGTACCAGGTTTCTGTCGCAGTGACGCTACAAAACAAATTTAGTGGGATGTACTGCAAAATACGGTGAGATACGGAACAAAAAAATTAATGCGCTTTATGTGCAACCGAACGGGCGAAACGCATTGGCACTTTGACGGGGAAGACAGGAATGGCGTGTTGGAAGGTGACCCGTGGTCAACAATGCTGCAGGTTCAGAAGTCGTTCACCGCGGCGCTTCGCGTGGCTGCGAGAACTAGGAAACCAGGGTGAAAAAGATTATTTTAAGAAGAAATAGGGTGTTTTGCTTACGTTTGGCTTTCTGTAGTTCCTCTGGATTTCCTTTTTTCCCTGGTTGCCTTGCAACAATAGCCAGCAGACGACCAGTCCAACGAAGGGGGTGATCACGGGGAAGGTCTTCTTAGAGGAGCGTCATCTCCTTTGTTCCAGTGTCGGCACTCGTATTTGACTATTTCCTGCTGCGGCGCCATTTGTTTCGGCCTAAGGCGAGTTGGCCACATGGGTTTCCTTTTTGGCTGGCAGCGGCGGGGGGCCTCCAATGCATCGGCTACTCCTGCGGTGTCTGCGCAGACACCACAGAGCCCTCAAGTTTTGTTTACTTCTGCCAGCACTCAAAAGTCACGATTTCATAGGAAGACGGCGCCACTTTCCAATTTGCACTCCCTGCCGCGTTCCGAGCTGTGTTGTAAGACCGACGGGTGCCATGTAGGGAAGAAAGGAAAGGAAGGACCTCTGCTTGGCTCTTCTCCCCCCGTTTCAGCCTACGCCCCATCTTCGACAGGGTCCAACTCCCCGCAGACGCTTCCGAAGTGGGGCCTCTTTGGGATTCCCTCAAAAACCGAGAGGCTGCCAGCCCCCGTCACAGAGCAGCCGTGCACCGTCGCTACACCCGAGTGCTCTACAGAGGCCTCACTAGGAGACGAAAGCAAAGTTCCCAGCCGTAAAGGCGGCTCATCTGCATGCGCAGAGTGGGCTCAGGCACGGCAGCCCGATGAGAGGGGGACAGTGCAAACCCTGGAGCCTTCCACGGCAGCACTTGTGTTTTACTGTCCAGCCTCCCCTGCCTCTGCCGCGGGGGCATCAGCAACGCCGAGGGGGTCATTAAGCGCTTTGTCAGTGTCGTGCGCCAACAGCGGGAGTAGCGGCACGGGCAGGCTTCACTCAGGAGCAGCAGTGGCAGAAGAAGGCGGTGTTTGGAGGGCGCTTGTTCAAGTCGAAGGCTGCCTCGAGAAGGCAGAAGCCTCTGTGGCTTTGCTGGGGTTCGTGGCAGCTAAGGCTGCAGTAGAGCTCGCCGCTGAGCGGCTGCTGCTACAGGCAGCAGAACGAAGTAGAGCGAAAGGAGGACTCGAGGCTCAAAAGCAACAGAACGATCAACGCGCCAGGGAGATGTTAATGGTGTGCCACTGTTGAACTTTGTGGGACCGCTGCTGTTGTTCGTCCACGTTTGAAAATGCCGCACAGAGAAGGCATTCCGTGGAAGCAGCTTGAAAAAACTGCATTTTGCAGCTGACTGCAGCCGCCAGGATGCTCCCGTCCTTTTACTAGCTTTGCTTGTGCCCCTACTGCTCTTGCTGGCGCCTGTATGTGCGTGTTGTGCTGCAGCGTCTCTGCGAGCTGCTGCCCCTCCAAAGTCTCCCCGCCGCGCCAGCGCTGAGGAAGAGCTGTCTGCGGTTGCTGCAGTGGCGCGTGCTGGGAGCCCTTCTGTCTCTCTTAGACCTTGTGAGCATTTCGTTCCCGCATTCACACACGCAGCAAGATAGCAGCAGCAAGCTTCCAAGCGGCGACCAGGCGCTCCTCGTTGCACTGCTGCAGCATCACGTGTCAACTGTGAAACGCGCTGCCGAGCCAGAGTCTCTCTTTTGCTACTTCCAGCTCCTGCAGGCCCCCCCTGCTGCCTCAGCAGAGCAGCAGCAGACAGCGGATTTTCGGGGAAGCCTCTGCAGCTTCCATACCGGCCAGCAGGAGGATTACAAGTATACAGCCAAAGACGGACCTTACCTTCTGGAGCTGCTGCTGCATGCCTTCGATAAGGGTGGCAACAAACACGAACTGCCACAGCCACGCTGGCAGCGCCAGCTACCCCGGACTTGCTGCTGGGAAGCTGGCGATGCGCATCGCAGGATTCATGGAAGTCACGTTGATCTCTGTACTCCCTTCGGATGTGACAGTCCCCCGTCTGCAGCGCTGGAGCTGCTTGGAATGGGCAGCCCAGTGGAGTGTCTGAGCCGCAGCAGCCTTTGCATCGGCGACAGGACTGAGTATATTGACTGCGGTGCCCTTGGGTGCCCCCAACGAAGATGAATCCTGTTGGCATCCAAGTTTTTGCCGCTCAGCGTCCTTTCACGTCATGTACCAACAACCAATGTGTATGTTCCTCGTGCGACGCGGGAGGGTAGCAAGCAAGCGTGATTTTTCGTCCCGTTCGAGCGCTGCTTGCTCCAGCAGCAGCCGCTGCCCATGTAGCGGCATCCCTTGCTGCAGCGCTTGGGCTGCTCGCGATGCTAGAGGCACGCCTTCTGATGGTTTCTTGCCCTGCCTGTGCTGTCAGGTAGCTATTAGGCCGTTAGCTTAGTGCCAGCTAGATTGCACCTTGTCTGGACTGCCTCCCACCATTGCCTCCTTCTGTACGACGCCGCCACGCCCCTCTCGCTATCCACGCCAGTAGAGTGCTAGCTATATAGATATACATAAAATACGTCCAGCATCCATTGCGTAAACCACCTAGCCTCAAGAACTGGGTGCTAGAGCTTTACTGCCAAAGAAGGTTTTGTGCGCGGGAGGCACCTTCAGCACGGGGGCTTCAGTGCAACGCCTTCGTTCCGCATTCCCCTTCAAAGCAGCGAGTGCAACACCACCCCAGTTATACAAACGACTGCAGCAATACCCTTACGCAGGTCCACACACTGGGTTTCCTGCAACGACACCACCAGCAGTAGCAAACGCATGCCCGACATGTGCGGCATAAGACTGTACATTCATTGCGCGGAAAGCCCTCATGGCCTACTTGCGTCACGCAGGTAGATGCCCCAGAGGAGAACGTGCGAGGGAACAAGGAAACACGCAATCGACAGCACAGAGAGCGGCAGGGAAGCAGACGCTGGCAGCTTCTGACCTGTGCGCTACAGAAGAGGACGTGACTCAGTACCACGACTGCTGCAGCCTTGCAGCCTTTCAGGGCGCCCGATGTAACGGCTCCTGTATTCCCAGAAGGCAAGAACACAAAAGACCACCAGCATGCAGCATCATAGCACACGCGAATGCTTGCGCCACTATGCGCTGCGAGAAGAAGCACCGTGCGAAGGAGAAGCCTGCCTGCAAGACTCGCGGCTAAATACAGGGAAACGCGGTTCACATGCCGCAGACGCGGAGGCACCGTCGGGGCAGCGTCAAGCAGCAGCTACAGCAGCAGCACGCGCCGCTGACTTACCAAGGCGAGAAATGATATACCACATTGTGGCGGAGTGCAATGCTCCGCAAACGAGCAGCAGCGACAGCAGGCATGCAATGGTCCCCCACTCGCCGCCTTGAGCCCGAACGCGGCTCAGAATCAGTGTGTCAAGCTGCATGCAACACCACATGTCCTGCCACGAGGCACCCCCCGCTACATGCAAGGGATCACTGCGACAGCACAGGGCTTTCCAGAGCCTTTCCAGCCAGACGGCACCTCCGAAAGGGGAAGACGGGGGACGAATGGCAACGCTGGAGCGCTCACCAGCTGTATGTCTCGAACGGGTGATACTAGGGGACGCAGGCTAGCTGCCGTACCTGGGGCAGCGTCCATACGCACGTCCAGAGCAATAGGAGCAAGGAGCTGATTGTTCTGAGGGTAGACAGAGCAGAAACGGCGAAGACACGCGCTGTAGTCGCTGCAGCGCTCAAAACGCAGGGGAAGGGAGTAGCTAGAGCAGCGGGTGTAGCGGCAGCTGTATGTACCCCAGCATGAAGACCAAGTTTAGGCCAGTGATGGGTTCCTCAGTGTCTTCCATGAACCGCTCGTTTAGCACAAAGGTCAGGCCTTGCTGCATATCCAATAAAATGCATTGAACGCAGCAGCCCATCGTGGTGAGGCTGCCGCTGAAGCAGCATTCAGAAAACTGCGAACCAGCCGCTTCCGCTGGTTCCAGGCACCAACGAAGGGTAACAGCGCCTCACGAGAACGGCAGCAAGGAGCGACAGAAGCATCCCTAGAGCCTCTTCATTCGTGAAGGAAGCCGTCAAGTTTGATGCCTACACGAACCGCCACAAGCAAGGTCCGGGAAACTTTACTGCGTAGACGAGATGCAACTTGATGCAGGGAGTAAGTAGAGGTGTCCTTACACCAGCATCCCACAAGAAACACCCGTAGGGTTGAGCTAGCTATTCTGACGCAGGTATGCGTGCTGCTTTCACATTGGTGAGGGTTCTTCTTTTCTGCTTACCTTAATCGATACGCCAACAACTATGAGGGAGAGGCTGAAATACTGCAGCGCCGTGTAACTCCTGCGAGGTCACCCAAAAGCACTCTGTGGGCGCTGTGTCTTACGTCCTGTTACAACTCTTGCACGTAAGCTCTAGAAGAATTCAGACACGGCCAAAGCTGCTCTCTGTGAAGCTGCTGGTGGGATAGGTCATAGCCAACTGCAGTACCTCCCAAGAATCAGCGCTGAGAGGACGGCTGTCCATACAATCGACGTGCTGCTCAGCAGGATGTACACTCCCGAGCCGCACAGCACAAGTCCAGCTGCGGCAAGTAAAAGAGACTTGCGGCAGCAGCAGAAGCAGGTGAGCGTCAGCAAGCATAGCAATAGCCGCAAGCCTCCTGGAGACACGTGTGAGCTGTCTGACACCGTCTACTTCTTAGCTGGTGTGGCTGGAGGGCACCAGGCAGGGGAGCCTTAACGGTCCTACTCGCCTTTTTCAAGCAGCTGGTGGCTCAGATCGATCAGAGCCAGTCTGAACGCGCGTCTCCAAAGGCGAGGACTGCAGCAGCAGCAGCGACAAGCGCAGAGGCAGCACAGGCTAGCGACACGCTCGTCCTGTGGAAGACAGCTGCAGAGAGCTGTCAAAGCTGCAATGTCGAGTTGCAAACGATAGGGGCAGTTTTTCTGTACTTGCGGAGCTGCCCCCTGGCCTTGGGGTTGCTTGAACTCGCGGATATCGGAAGAGATCCGGCGATAACCATTCCGAGGAAGTGGGGTAGGAGAAACAGAAACGTGCTCGCCTGTACAGATTGTTGCATACATGTACGCACATGTATGTATAAACTGAGTCATACACGCGCAACGCAAAACTTCTGGCGCGTATGGCTCCGAGCGCATGCAGCACTGTGAAAGCTGTCGAGAGGGAAGCCGTAGCGGTCAAGTCAAGAAAAGGGGGCAGAGCACGCACGCTGGCGACGCCTTGAAATCTGCAGTAGTCCACCTGCGAGCATCATCTCCCCATAGCACAAGCGGTGATGCATGCAACGGCGGCACCAAGGTCACACAAAAAGCAGGCGTATAAGAGTAAATAAGAGAAAAGCGGATTTTTTTCTGGAGCTCACAAGGATGGGCTGGCCACAGTAGCCGATTAGGAAGAGGCAAATGGAGGCGGCGAGCTTGAAGTCTTCTGTCCTTCCTTTTGCGTCATTGCGGATGTTAGCACGTTGTTGAACCTCCGTCGTGTCGGTAGTCGGTACCAGCAGCTCATCATCGTGTTTGTTTTGCTGTACAGCTCGTGCGAGCTTCTTGTTGCGGACGGCTCCCATCGCGGCAGCCTTCTCGCACAGCGAGCCACTACACGAGAAGTGGCAGCTACTACAGGTGTGTCGAGGGTATTGCGGCTGGCGCTGCTGCGCCAATCCTTAGGGCTGACTGCGAACTCCCTTCCCACGGGGAAGGAGACAGCAGCAGGGGAACGCCAGCACTCACGAAGGGACTGTGGAGCGGCTAAGGGGGGAGGAAGGGAGGAAGAAAGAAAGCGGCTAGGAAAGAGAGAGAGAGAGAGCAGCAAGGAAGAGAAGGAGGAGATCGACTTCTCCCTTGAGCTTTTGCCTCTCTCGATCTGCTCGATCCCTGTGATATATCCTTTACAAATACACCCAGCCCGTCCTACGCCCCCAGAATTTCTGGAGGAAAGGAAGTTGCAAGGCTCAGGCTGTCGGAGATAATTACTGCAGAGAGGGGAGAGGGGGTCAAAGAAGGCGCCGAGCGGAGAGCAGGCACAGAGAGATCATACTGCGAAAGAGGGAGAGGAAGGGGTTGGAGGGAGGGAACTTTGGTTCCTTTTGAGCAGACTCTCCTCCTGAAGACGGCTGTCACGACCGTTGTCTTGAACAAACTCCCAATGCCACCGTAGCGACAGCCCCCAAGAAGGCCAGCCAGTCTTCTTCTGGGCGCGTGCCAATAAATAAGGCGAAACAGTAAAATCACGATCCCGGGGTGTATGTGTGAGTGTGTATGTGTGAGTGTGTATGTATGTGTGTCTGTCCGTCTGCGTGTGCATACACTGGAAGAAGGCGCAAGGCTCCCGCTGCTTTACTGCTGCAGCGACGACAGCCGAGCAGCAGCCATGGCGTTGCCTGTCGTAAGGCACCGCATGAGGGCCCCCTTCCAGGTTACCCCTATAAGCCTGTGCGTCTCGAGAAGCGCTAGCCTCTATGGCAATTCGCGACACCGCGTTATTCCAATTCGCTAAATATACGGTGCCAACGCAAGATCCGCTGGTTTTAAACTTCCTACAGCGCTGCTTCCGCCCGCCCGCCCTACATGCCGCTGCTGCAGGATTTGTTGCAACGCTGCTGCTGCAACTGCATTGCAGTGCAGCAGCAGCAGCAGCCAGTAAGAGAGCAGAGCACAGCGACACCCCGGCACCAGCGGAAGACTTGATATCAATTGGGCTGCCAAAACGCTCCTTAAAAGCGGACTTTACGGTAAATAGCAGATTTCCATCGTGGCTTCTTGTCTTTTCTGGTGGCTTCCTGCGTTGCCGTTGTTTCCCGCCGCTCTTAGGGGCCCCCCGTCGGTTCATCACCCCACTGCAGCGGCTGCTGCCGCAGTTCGGAGGGAAGACTCCCGTCAGACTCACGCACACACATTCAAATTTGGACGCTGTAAATCGAAAGGAAAGCCGCTGCGAGGCTGGCACGAGCTGCCGCTCCAACCCCTGCCTCCACCTTTGCCAGCCGCAGAGAGTAGTGGGTGGTGTCGTGGCATGGGCAGCAGAAAATTGCCGTCCAAGCAATCCTATCGCGGTGTCACTGCTGCTGGGCACCCTGCTTTTGCACCTATCTCTTTGGCGGCTCACACACGGCAGAATCGGCGGCTGCTGCAACAACGACGATTGAGGCTGCGTCTGCAGGAACAGAAGGAACGGCGGCACAGCGCGATCGATCGCGCCAGCAGCTGCGCCCTCTTCGAATCCCCTCCCCCTTTCTCCACTATTGCTTCGTGTAGCTGCTGTGGCGGCAGCAGCAACGCGACCTTCTTAGCCTCCCTGCTCATCCCCCTTCCCCCGTCGAGCGAAAATGGGAAAGGTAGGAGGGCTTACAGGAGGGCTAGTTGTAGACGCAGGGGCAGCTTCGCAAGGAAGGACGCTTCCTTTTGCAGCGCAGTATTGCTCCTGTCCAGCATAACATGCAGACGCATTGCACTTCTACATGCAAACACACACATATGCACACACACATATGCACACACACACATAGGTACATATGGAACGCATACTTGCATGCACTTCTTCTATCCTGCTCGTCTCCTCCTGGAGCCGCTCTTTTCTGTGTGCGTGCGTTGCCTGACGGGCTCCAGCTCGCACTCGGTCCAACACCTGCTGCTGCTACTGCTGTGGCATGTTTGGCTGAATGAGCACGTACTCCATCACCGATAATGGCGGCTTCCTTCGCGTTTTTGCGCTGCCCCTTCTGGGAATTCGCTTTCATGGGTGCATGTACTGCCTATGCTTGAGTGCACCCATTAGGAGTGCGTTTGTGTGTGCCTCGCCGCTCCTCTTTTTGTTGCTTTTTTTGACTTCCTGGTAAATCTTTGTAGATCTGATCCTACTCCCCTATTTTTTCATTTCTTCACCCGCTTCTTAGGACTACTACAGAATTCTAGGGGTCCCCAAAGACGCCTCGGATGCCGATCTGAAGAAGGCATACCGCAAACTCGCGATGAAGTGGCATCCAGACAAGCATGCAGATGCTGAGGCCAAGAAAAAGGTATGGCAAAGGCCTTTATTTTCGCTACTTCTTACCCAGCATTTAAGCCTTAGAACGACCCTTCTTGCCTCATAATCTCTGATTTCTTTGATACCGCCATGCTCAGACTCAGCCCCCACCTCCGCTCAGCATCTTTGCTTCAACGCCTATTGCCTCCGGCATTCCTCCTGTGTTTATGTGACCCTCGTGTTCAACTCTTGGGGAGAAAAGCCTCCCTTCTTTCCCCTCTTTCCCCCTCCTCCTTCTCCCCCTCCCATGCCGAATGCTGCCTTCTGGTCCACAAGCCTTGGCGACGGCACTACTACACCCACGCAAACGGCTGCTTTCTGTTGACGTTTCAGGCAGAGGCGCAATTCAAAGACATCGCGGAGGCTTACGATGTGCTGAGCGACAAGGAAAGGCGGCAGGTGAGAAGCGAGGCTCAGGAAGCCCACGCCATATATATATAATATATATAATATATATAATATATATATATGTATATATATATATATATATGTATATATATAATATATATAATATATAATATATATATATATGTATATATGTATATATATGTATATATATATGTATATATATATATATGTATGCCTGCTTAGTGGTGGCTCCACACTCTGCAAAATGTTTGGTGGGCAGTGCGAGTGTGTGTGCTTGCATACGTTTGTTCGAAAGAAACTGTTCGATGTCTGGTTGGATTTGCTGCAGATATACGACAAATTCGGCGAAGAGGGGCTTAAGGGAGGGGCAGCTCCCAGCGGAGCCCCAGGCGGGGCGAATGTTTTCTGTAAGGGGACGCCCTGCAGCATGAATTTGTCAGAATTCTTCTTTGTGATGAAGAGTGGCATTTGTCGAAATTCTTCTTCTTTGTGATGAAGGGTGGCAGAGGGGGGAGCTGCGAGCGCTTAGTAGGGGTTCGGGTGTGCGGTTGGTTTGGCTCTCCCTTCTGCTCTAGAAGGGGGAAAGCGGGGGTAGTTGCCTCCTACGTGCTAGAGGTGTCTATACAGCTGGACATGCAGGGGTGTCAGCAGTCGCATGCAAGCGTTTGAAGTGGGTGGGTTTTCTGTGTGTCGCTGCAGATAGGGAGGTCGACCCCAGCGAAATTTTCTCACGCTTCTTCGGCACAGACAGAATGGGAGGCGATTCCGACGATCCTTTCTCGCATCCAGTAATACAAGCAGCAGTGCTTCTTCGATCGAGTTCAGCTAAAGAGCGAAGTTCAGAGTCGCTTTGGCGCACGTTGTCTGCTTTTGAGTGCTTGCTTCGGGGAGGAAGCACTCAGGCGACTAACAATTGCTATTTTGTTCATTCCCCTGCAGGCAGGGGGTAGTGGCGAGGGAGGGTGGTGGTCTTTCTCATCTGAGGTTGAGTGTCGTGAAAATTTGTGCATTTTTTGCAGATCTTCGGGATGGGGGGAAGCAGCGGGCCGTTTGGCATGCGTTTCGCGACTTCGGGAAATAGACGTGCGTTTTTTTTGTGTTGGCGGGTGGTTTCGGAGGGTAAGGGATGTTTCTGATGTGGAGGGGGTATTTGAATCGGTTGTTTTTGCAAGAGGGTCGTGTTTGGAATGCTGGCGTTTTTTGCGGGGAAGCGGGGGGATGGGCTTTCTGCTTCAGGATGCGGCAGTATGCAAGGCATGAGCACAAGCAGCAAGCCGCGAGCATATGAGCGAGATTTGGTCTGTACGCTGGAAGAGCTGTACAGGTCGGTGAGAATATGAAGGGGGGTTGGGGGGCAGCGCTGCTGCTGCTGCTGCGGCCGTATCATGGGCTGCTGGGATGGTGTATGTATCCGCACGCACTGCTGCTTGCACCCCTGCGACTGCGCTTTGGGTGTGTGTTGTGGGGTTGGGATGCATTCGTGCAGCGGCACAACAAAAAAGATGAAGATTGGGAGGACGCGGTCAGCTTTAAAAGGCTTCAGGGGGGGGAGGGTAGGGGTGTAGGTGCACAGGGTTGGTCCTCAATCGAGTAAGTGATGATTTGGAGTGTATCGTACTGAATGGGGGGAAGGCAGGGGTTTTAGATATCGGCTTTATATTTGGCTTTTTTGCTTTCACGGAGGTGCGTTCATGTTGCAGTTTCCACAATGGTCAGCCGGTAAAGGAAGACAACGTTGTTACAGTGGATGTAAAGGCGGTAAGCCTCTTTCGTGGGGGAAATGTCGGCTATAATGAGCCGTCAGGCAGGGGCTAGCTTGTTGAGTTTATGTATATATATATGTATATTTATATATATATGTATTTATATATATATGTATTTATATATATATATTTATATATATATATATGTTTGAGTGTATGTCTGTGTAGGGGTGCTGCTTGAGGATCTATCTGGCATGCATGCTGCAATTTCATTATCTTTGTGTTTATGTGTGTGTGTGTGTGTTGTGTTGTGCAATATGCTGCAGGGGTGGAAAGAAGGCACTAAGTACGTTGCTTGTAGCTCTCTGCTGGTTGCTTGTATTCTGCACAAAGCCGCCGTTTAGGCCTCTAGCGCTTGGGGGCTTTGTGGCAGTTTGCAGTGCGTTAGTGTATTATGTTCGCTTGTTGTTTTCGCATCTAGGATTACTTTTTCTGGTGAAGGCGGCCAGGAAACACCGAACGGTCCCCCAGGAGATCTAATATTGTACGGAGAGCTGTTATGCCTGCTGCATTTTTAGCTGCTGCTGCTGCACCTTGAGCGGCTGCCACTGCTCAGCAGCGGAGGCTGTCTGTGGCGCAGTTACCAGCTCTTTGTTCAGCCGGACGCATACGGCCGTCATCATCACCATCGGCAGCACTAGTAGTCGTAAAAGTAGGTGGTGCTCGAAGCGCAGCTGTCTCTGCGTATCTCGGGTTCGCAGCGTCGTCAAGTGCAAGCCACACCATCGATTTATTCGGGATGGCAGTCACTTGATCTACAAGGTTCCTGTGCCACTTATCAAGGCGCTTACGGGATTTACCGTGCCTGTTACAACCCTCGATGAGAGGAAATTGCACATCAAGATTGACCATGTCGTGTCGCCTAAGTACAGGAGGATTGTGTCTGGGGAAGGTAGGGAAGGCCCTTGAATTGAGAGACAGGTGCTGCCTTGTTTGCGGCTCTGGTGAATGCGCGCGTGTCTTGGTGAGGGTGGTATCTGATGAGATTCTCTTTGGCGTCTCGTGATAGTGGCGCTGCTCGTTTTAGTTGGGAAAGAGCAGCTGGTAGTGGTGCTGGTGGAGTGACACCGCAGCTGCGTTTGCTGATAAGGGAGGGGGTGGTGGCCAAGTTCTCTCCGACTGGAGAATGCTCTAGTTTGCAGCTGGTAGAGAGAGAGAAAGAAAGAAAGAAAGAAAGAGACAGACAGAGAGAGAGAGGGGTTGTTGCAAGGCAAATAAAAATTTTTAAAAAAATATGCCTTTTTGTTGTCGGTGCTCACTGCCATGTAGACTACACACCATGCTGCTTTTCTGTTGCTGCGGCTGCTGGTGCTGCACAGGGATGCCTATCAGCAAGAAGCCAGGGGAGAAGGGAGATCTCATAATTGAGTTTGACATTACTTTTCCTCGGTAGGCTGCCGCCGCAGCTGGAGTTGGTCATGCTGCAGCTGGAGTTGGTCATGCTGCAGCTGGAGTTGCTGCTGCATTTGTTCGTGCTGTTTCAGGACGTTATCAGACGACCAGAAAGCCAAGCTGAGGGAGATCTTGGGGCCAGTATAATAACAGCGGGAGCTGCCGTTTTTGGCCGTCTCGACGTTGCTGTTGCTGCGGCGGGAGAAGGAAGCGGCAACACACGATGCTGGTGCAATGACGACAGCCGAAATGTCTCGCGCATCCGACTTCGTCCTTTGGTGTCTCGCTCTTAAGATGGCCACGCCTTGCTGGTGCTGTACCTTGGGAGGTGCTAGTAGTAGTTGCAGCAGACGCAGACTTGGCACCACCTGAACCCAGAGTTTTCTGGGGTTTATTTGCGTTTCACGCGGGCACGGTGGAGTGTAGCTAGCTAGCTCCTCGTGTCGCTGACAGGGCAGTTCTTTCTTTCACTTTCTCTCACTCTCTTACTCTTTTCGACATCTAGAGCCCTGCATTCAAACGCCGAACTCTGCGTAATTTGAGACCACGCCTCCCTCTCCTCCTTGCCTTCACCAGGCCCCTCCCCGTTTGTCGTCATTAGAAGAGCTCGATGTCACCTTGGCTGCTCCCGGCACTTACGGGTAGAAAAAGCCGAATCCAAGCAGGCGTCTTGCGCGCATCACGAGCTACAAAGCAAGCTGTCTACAGCAGGCGGGAGTGTGCAGCGAGTCTGCTTGCGTCTACACGTCTCTAAAGCCCCAGCTTTACTATGAGACAGGGGGGATCGAAGCTGGCTGTTTCCGGCGCATGCCCGATTAACGCGCGTGGTTGTTGTGGGGTCCTTCGGGGTGATGCGCGCATGCGCTCTGCTGCAATAGTAGCGAGACAGTCCAGGTGCCTCCTCGAAAAAACGCCTAGCGACAACCTCCCCTCTCTACCCTTCCCCTTCAGAAAAAATCTGAGCAGTTCGACAGCACTGCGCAGTGCTGTCAGCAGCGCGTGAGCGCCTGACGCACGATGTGCGTGAGCGTTAAAAAGTTCCCGCGTAGCCGTGCACAGGTTGTCACCAAACTCAAGAGCAGCGTTCGTTGGAGACTTCTCTCTCCCCCTCCCCCTATCTTCCCACCGCCTGCTTGCCTCTGGAGCTAACTATCTATCACCGCGTGCGCGTGGGCGCCACGCGCACGCACATTCCTCGCTGACTCTCAGCCCGTGAGGCACTCGCCCTCCGCTACAACAGGGGCCTTATCAGACACGCTGGAGAGACACGGGGCCCCAGCGAGGAGATCTCGGAGAGCGGGGAAGATAAATCAAGCGCTCTTTTTCGAGCCTTGCCGATTTAGCGTGGGAACAAGCACTCGGGGAGCCTTTCGCGACATGCTACGGAAGCACATGCCACTCTCGCTCTCTTCAGGCGACTCCTCCCCCCTTTTCTAGAGAAAAAAGCGCCCTCGCGTGCCCTCATATGTCGAAAACAGATGCTCGCTTCAAAGGGCCCCCAAGGGGTTGTTGAGGTCGAGGTTCTGCAGGGAGGAGACTGCCGTGAACGAGCTCGCCATCAGGCCCCAAGCGACGAGCTCCTAAGAGACTGCATTGCACAAACAGCAGACGTGGCATTTTTCCCGTGTTTCTTCATGGCGCCCACATGCGCAGGAACACGCCTGGCCGCGTCTGCCTCTGCATGAGCCCATCTCTACGTGCAATCGCGGATGCCTTTTTCACCCCGTCACACGTGCGCGCGACTGCTGGCAGAGAGAATTTTAGCTCCCGCAACCAGCTAGAGCTGCTGCTGCCGCCGCCGCCTCCTCCCTCCTCTCCCCCTGCTACTGCCACTCCTCGCGAGGCCTACCTTGGTCTTCCTGCCAACGGCGCACGCTGCGTCTGCGTGGGGGCCCCTTGCTGCTGCTGCTGGGTGGCGCTGGCGTCTAGCAGCAGGGGAAGCGTCTGGGAAAGGCTCGAAGAGGGCCTCCCGGGGGGAGGGGACGGGCATGCGAAGGGCAGGGCGCCTGAGCGGTTGTTGCCGATTGAATGCAACCCCACCAAAGGCCTCTCCCCAGCTCGCTCACCTCCCAGAGGGGCCTCTGCGTTTGCTCGCGCAGAAGGAGCCGTCGTGAGCAACCCAAGACGGGGGGGAGAGGGAAAGCCGCTGTCCTCTTTGAGGGCGTGCGTGAAGCGCTCTGCTGCACAGCTCTCGACGTTGGGAGGAGGCACTGCCGACGCTTTCTGCTGCATGCGCTGAGAAGAAGCTGCGGAGCGACGGCCCAGAAGCCCCCACGGCGTCTCCTGGGGCCCCTCCCTCGTGAGGGCAGTCTGGAGAGGGGGGGGGCCCCCCCCCCTCTCCAGACTGCCTTCGCAGACAACGGACTCCTCCTCGGCTTCTTGAACGAGTTGCTGGAGAGAGCTCGTCGGCGCAGCAGCCGGGAAGGAGGAAAAAAACGCTGCTTCCTTTGCTGCCTCCGCAGCTGCACAGCGTGTCGCTGCTGCGGAGACTGCCCCTGGGGCAGACAAGAGGTGGCCGGGGGGCCCCTCCTGCTGTGGGGGCCCCTCCTGCTGTGGGGGCCCCTGGGGAGTCCGGGGTTGGGGGCCCCATGGCAGCGCTGGCTGCTGCTGAGAAGGGGGGGGGAAACTTTCGCGTGCTGCGGCACACAGAAAACGCCTCCGCGCAGCTGCTCACAGGAAGCAAGCGGGTATAGTGCGGCAAGAGCAAACGCTGGCTATCCAGCTACACGCTGCAGAGGCTCGCAATAATGCCTCTCACAACCATACCAAAATGCGTATCGCCTACCCTGTCCTTGCAGAGGCGGCAAGTACCGCAGCGATTCTTCCCCTCGCTTCTCGCCTCTTCCACAGCACAAAATCTACACACGAAATGACAGCAACAAGAGCAGAGAAAACAGCGGGCAATCGCCGACGCACCAACAGCACTCAAATTGCGGGTCATATAGACACACGCATGCATAAGCATACAGAGATATACACAAATACATGCAGAGATATACACGTATACATACAGAGATATACACTTATACATACAGAGATATACACGTATACATACAGAGATATACACACAAAAACATACAGAGATATACACGTATACATACAGAGATATACACGTATACGTACAGAGATATACACGTATACATACAGATATGTACACACAAACATACAGAGATATACACATAAACATACAGAGATATACACGTATACATACAGAGATATACACATAAACATACAGAGATATACACGTATACACACAGAGATATACACATAAACATACAGAGATATACACACAGACATGCAGAGATATACACATAAACATGCAGAGATATACACGTATACATACAGAGATATACACACAAACATACAGAGATATACACACAAACATACAGAGATATACACACAAACATGCAGAGATATACACACAAACATACAGAGATATACACGTATACATACACAAAAAATGTGTAGGAAAAGGCGTCTCGCTGACCAGTGTGTGGACGACAAGGCTGCCTGTTGTGGGGTCCCTGTACAGCTGAGCAGCTGCTCCGTCATTTCCAAATCGATCGCAATAGTTGGTGGCAGAGAAAAGCGTAAGGCAAAGACCACCGCAAGCATAGAAGGCTCCCCCCGAGACGCATTCATGGGCGCGTATGAGCAGCTGCAGGCTATTAGCGGCTAGGAAACTGCGCAAGGCACTTTCTCGGAATCTGAGCCGCAGCAGCAGAATGCGGAGGAAAAGACACCGCCAGTTGACAACTGCTGCGAGGCACACCTCGGCAGGAGACACTGTGGGGAAGCTGGCGTCTCTCGCGTGCAAACATGGAAAAAGCGATGGAAGGAGCCCCCACATGGCAAGAAGCAGGGTAGGTAGACACCTCGGATACGGGCACCCTGCAGTCGACTATTGTACGCTTTAAAGCTAAGAAACGATAAGAAGTGAGAGTTAGGGGATATAAGGCTTGAAAACAATGCATATGTGCACATACATAGAGGAACAGAGACAGCGTCCAGATGTATATATGTATACATATATATAGGAATATATATATATATATATATGTGGACTGCAGATATGTGTGTGAATCTGCATGCAGCTGCTGCAGCCTATTAGAGGCCTTCTCGTGGAGGGAGGGTGTACCTGACGGTGTTTTTCCCTCTAGGGGAGGCATCGCTCGTTGGAGCTGCTCCGTCCTCATCTGCCGTGAGCGGATCGCTCCAAAGGCAGTCCAGCACTTGGCAAGCCTTAAGGACTGCCGGATTCGTCTCCTTAAGGCTTCTGTCTGCGAAGGCAGTGCGCCAGCTAGAAAGAGAGAGATAGACATATAGATAGAGAGAGAGAGAGATAGACAGGTAGATAGGTAGAAAGAGAGATAGATAGATAGAGAGATAGACAGATAGATAGAGAGAGATAAACAGATAGATAGGTAGAGAGAGCTAGACAGATAGATAGAGAGAGATAGACATATAGGTAAAGAGAGAGATAGACAGATAGGTAGAGAGAGAGAGAGATAGACAGATAGATAGGTAGAGAGATAGACAGATACATAGATAGAGAGAGAGATAGACAGATAGATAGAGATAGACAGGTAGATAGACAGATAGATAGGTAGAGAGAGAGAAATGCGTTGATGATGGAGCTGCCACCGAAGAAAAGTGAACCCCTTCGCCAAAACAGTGTGTTTCGCACAGAACAGCTTTCTGCCTCTCCCTCTCCCCCGCCCCCAAGTGACTCCAAGAGCTGCAGCAAGCATAGCAGCATTCTTTCTGCCAGCAACGGCAGCAGCAGCAGCAGCAGGCACACGTTCTCCCTTGCAAGAAGGGAGGCAGGCAGCCTTTTGCACAGAAATCCCTGCGAGGTAGAGGAGGCCAAGAAAGCAACGGCTAATCAGCTCAAGGGGCCCCCCCCTCTTCTTTTGAGTGGCGGGAAGCTTACCGACGTGTTGAGGTACTGTGATAGGCTTTCGAATATCGCGCAGCTGTTGAGGAGCTTGAATACTGTCGCCGATGCCTCCGTGGAGGAGGATAAGCCCAGCAGAGCGAACAGTCGCGGCAAGTGGTAAAAAATCAAAGAGACTGTTGCTGCGTTTCCAGAGGATCTCTCCTTCAGTCCCACCAAACTTGCAGACGCATTCGGAGAAGAAGCCGTAAATGTAGTTCATCGGGCGATCCTCGTGATTTCCTCTCAACAGCCACACGCGGTTGGGGTACTGTGCAGCACGCAGAAACAACGCAAGACACAGCATGCCAACGACAGGCAGCAGGCTAAGAAGCATCGCGAAGGGGCCCCTGCGTCCAGCCAGCCACCCATCAAGCCAATGCCACCCGAGTGCATCTCCCTAGCAGCTTTCGCTTGCTCGTGAGGCATCTGCACTGACACAGCCTTCCAGAAGTGCAAGGCAGCTCGTGAAAAGCGATGAGACACAACTTGGTTGTGCATTCTTCCAGAGAAAAGCACTGCATATTGCAAAAGGAAGCGGCGTTCTCAAGAGCGGCGTCGCCCATGCATGCGTGAGAGGGCGCTTGGCGCTGAGACACTATCGGGAAGGAAGGCTCCGTTGCCGCCCAAAAGTACTGAATGGCGCGAGGTCGTTGTTGTTTTTCTCGAAATGCCACCTCGCTACGCTGTGCGAGTGTGCAGCTAGCTCACCAGCACTTTGAAAGAGAGGAGAAGCAGAAGCACTTCGCAGCTGAAGTGCCCCCTGTCTACGTAATCCCCCAAGAAGAGCAGCGACGTGTTGAGCTGCTGCATAGCTTCCTCAGGCCATAAGAAGGAGTCGAAAAAATCCAGCAAATCCCCCAACTGCCCGTGAATGTCTCCGTAGACGCGAAGGGGCAGCTCGAGCTGGAGCGAAAGCAGCATCGCGAGACGGCGAGTTCTCGATGTGCCTCAAAGGCGGGAAAAGAGTCGCTACGCTGCAGAGCACTACGCGTCAGCCGACAGGCCGCATCAACTGCCAGATATTCGCGACTGCGGCTCTAGAGCGGCGCTCTTTGGGCTGTCATGGGAGCAGCTTTAGTCTTCTTACCTCGAGCAGGGAGTTCTCAAGAGCCAAGATGGAGGCGACAGCATCACAGAGGAGCAAAGCCTCGGAGGCTGTCGCAAAGAAGCAGCACGTCTGCTGAGAAGTTTCTGGCGTCTGCTGGCCTCTAACGCCGTTGTACTGCAAGAGGACCGCCTCAACCTCTCCCGCAGAACGACCTTTTGCCAGAGATTTCGCCTTCAAGATGATGCCTCTGGCTACCCGCCGAGCCTGCGTCAGCAGCGCTTCCTGCTGCTCAGGATTGGGGGGAAAGACCACCACAACCTGTTGCTGCAACAACTGCTGTTGCTGCAACAACTGCTGTTGTTGCAGCATCCCTGGTGGCGTAGATCCTGTTGCCACTGCAGCTTGAGCTTTAACAGCAACAGCAGCAGTAGCAGCAGCGGCAGTAGTAGTAGCAGCTTCCTGCAGCTTAGGTGACAGCGTAAAGGATTCGGCAGTGGAGGAGGCGGAGAGTGTGGGGCCCCCAAGAGCGAGCCACTGCTCCCGGAGCTTTTGCTGCTTTTGCTGCAGTTGTTGCTGTTGCACTGCAGCAACAAGGTCGGCTTTGAACCGCATGAGTCTGTGTGTCGCGTTGAGAACCTTCTCTTTGACGGACTGAAAGAAGGCCGAGTAGCTGAAGATCCCCCCGTGGCGCTGCAGCAGCTCTTCTGCTTCTCCCTGCAGAGTCAGCAACCGCAGCAGAGCATCCACAGTGGCTTTGCTAGACAATCACGGCGCTCCAAGAGAGGCATAAATACATACAGATGCGCGACGAGAGAGAAAGAGAGGACACGCAAGCTCCCCTGAGAAGCTGTCTCGTCGAGGGGGAGAATTATCGAGAAAACAAGAGGCATAGAGCCGCGCAAAAGGAATTGGGCTGAAACTCCCATGACGCTCTACAACTTTGTGCCAAGCGCTGCTGCGCAGGAAGAGTTTAGTGCGAATATTCGACCGCAAGTCGCTGCCACTCAAGCTGCCTTTACACCCTTAGGAGGAGCTGAGGAGAGTCTTTTGCTATCGCCTTACGGCTGCTCTTGCTTTGGCTTGTTCCTCCGAGAGGGCGCGATCCGCAGGATGCGTGCTAACAGCGTGGAGGTGGCAAAGGAGACACTGCAACTCCTCGCGATTCAAAAGGCCGTCATTATCGACATCGTAAGCGCGGTACAAGAGCTGCAGACGCAAGCGACCTGCAGAAGCCACAGCCAAAACGCCAAACAACGAAGAAACACGCAAGGATGCAGACATACCAACGAGAACCCCACACATGCGAATGCGAAGACAGCATGCGGAGGCACAGAGAGAGAGAACAAGCCATGCCGTCAACAGCGCGTGTGCTGTTGACACATGACGCCGTGAGCGCACAAAAAAATTCATGAATGCATGCAGTCAAATACGGGATCTGCACCTCTAGGTGGCCATCCATGCAGCGCCAACAGATCGAGATTCACAGGCTTGTTGGGGAACACCCCAGAAGCAAAGACAACCCCAAGCGAAAAAGTGTTTCGCAAAACAATTCGGCATAAGAGTAGCTACACACCGCCTCACTGACCTCTGGCCTTGGTGAGGTCCTGTTGTACAGACGGACCGCAACAATAAATTCCCCATCGAAAATCTTTGAAAGGGAGTGTGCCATTCTGCTTCCTGTCGATAGCCTGGAAAGAAACACATGGAAAGACAGCGCCGCAAGTCTTTCGGCAAACTCTGCAGAACGCCTTTGCAGCGCGCACAGGGCCCTTGCGCCTTCTCGCACCTTCACCCGCCTTTTCCTCCCGTTTTTAGCGTGTGTGGACGGCTGCAGTCGTGCATGCAGTCGTGCATGCATGTATGTAAGCGCCTCAGTAGCTGCTGGAGCCAAAGCGACGTACGTCGAACAGGAAGTCTTGGTGTTCGCGCTGCGGGAGGCACCGTGGAAAAGCCTTGAAAAGATTCAGAAACTCGCTCCGCTTCATGCCCTCTCTGCAAGCAGCCTTACACACGGAGCAACGGAAGGGGTCAATCCTGTATTTGGAGTGGGAGTTTTTTGCCAGCACGTCAAGCAGCCTAAACGACGCCAAGCAAAAACGCATCTAAGGGGCCCCCATCCCACCCCACGCAGGGGTCCGCTGTTTCGGGGGGCCCCCACGCCCCTCTGTCACCGACGCATGCAGCCACCCATCAAAGAAGATTCCGTGGAAAAATAGTGCTCTGAGATGCGTCGCTCAGTGCGGCGCTTCTAGACGCCGCTCCGTGAGCAAAGAAGCTGCTTCTCAGAAGGAGGCTCTTGAAGGAAGGAAATAGCAGGAAAAGGCAGCGGCTGCTGCTCGAAAGGTGGGCGATTTACTCGGGTGTGGAAGTGGCGAAAGCGTCGTACAAGGCTTGAAGAGACTGCACGGGTTCTACGCAGCAGTCTTCCTTGAGCATTTCTCTCCAGAGACAACCGAACGGCCTCCACTCCTTAAACAATTCTTCCTGACGATGGCGGAGAGCGAGGGGGTTCCCCCCTTCGGCGAGCGGGGATGAGCCCGATGCGGAAGCAACGGACAGACCGTTCCCAGAGGCGTCTGGAGAGCCTTCTTCTTCCACTGCTTCTCCCGATTTGTTTAAGGCAACTTCCGCCGATGCTGCAGCTGCCTGCCGCTTTGCAGCTGTTGCCTCGGCATTTCGCAAGTAGAGCGCGTCGTCCTCCCCTTCGCTGCCTTCTCCCGCTGCAGCTGCTGCCTCTACCGCAGCAGCAGCTGCTGCTGCTGCAGCAACAGGCGCTGCAGCGGCAACTTGCAGCAGCGCCCTGGCAGTCTCCCCCAAGTTTGAAAGAACTACGGCAGCTCCGCTCCGAGGCTCCTCTTCTTCTGAGGGTTCCTTTTCCTTGCAGTGCCTTGTCTTTCCTCGGTGGGACGGCCGTTGCCTCGACATCGGCGAACTCTGCTGCTGCCGCTTTTTTTGCCGCCGACTGCGCGTCTCCTTTGCGTCTCTTCCCTCCAGGAGCTTCAGCCGCTGCTGCGGCTGTCTGGGAAAAGCGTCTGCGCTGCTGTCGTGACTGCTTCGCGGGCTGCTGCTATGCCACCCCTCCTTGACATCGCCGAAGCGTGGCTGTGCGCCGCTGCTGCTGTGGCTGCTGCGGAGAGGGGGGATTTTCTTTTCTGAGAGCTTGCACGCACTGCTCCTCCGAGAAAGGGGCCTGCTCACGGCTCCCCCAGCTTCGCTGTACCCCGCACTCGCTGCTTCCTCCTCCTCCTCACTGTGGCTGCGGCTTTCTTCCGAGGAAACTTCAGAAGACGCATCACGCCAGGGCGCACCAAGAGGCCTTTTCCCGTCAAGAGGCTTGATGAATCTGTCGACAACACGCCCAAGTGCCGCCCCCATAGCACCCAGCAGGCTAGCCTGGTGCTCGAGGGGCGTTTGCTGCAGGTGCTCGTTCCCGACGAGGTCTTCTTCTTCGGGAACATGCTCCCCATGCTGCGCGTGCAAATGCGCGCGGCTCTTGCCATTGCTTCTACCCCGCTGCTGCTGAGGTTGCGGGGGGGGGGAACGCCCTCTCAGCGCGGAGAAAGAAGGGGGCGGGAGCGCAAGCCCCTCGCGCGCAGCTGTCCAGACACCGCGTTGAGACGCTTTTCGCCCCCCTCCAGGGGGCCCCCCCTCTTCGCCCCCACCCGCGTTCGGGGTACTGTACCCCCGCATGAAGGAGGGAGCATGACCTTCTCGCACTGCAGCCACAGAGGGCTTCCTCTGCTGCTGCTTGGATCCCTCCTGCTCGTTTGGATGCAGCGACGGCTGCTCCTGCCGAACGGCCTCCATCGCAGCGCCAGTGCGAGCTGTGTAAGTCTTAAAACCTCCTGTAAGACGATTCTTTTGATCCTCCACGTCCTCACGCTGACGCACTTCGTGCTGTTGCTGCTGGTGCTGCTGGTGCTGCTGTTGCTGGTGGTGCTGGTGGTGCTTCTCTTGCTGCTGCTGGTGCTCCATGAGGCTTCGCGATTCGATTGAACGTGGAGGAGCATCCGTGAGAGGCCTAGCTCGCTGTGGAGGCGCATCCAGTGGATTTTTCAGGCAGAAGGACTGCCGACACTCCTGCTGCTGGGATCGCCCTTGCAGCTGCGTCTGCCACGCGTCGTAAGGATCGTAAGGCGCTGAAGGATCGTAAGGCGCTGCAGCAGCAGGCGCTGCAGCAGCAGGCGCTGCCGGGGGGAGTCCCCTGCTTTGAAGAGAAGAATTTTCCTCGGGAGTGCGTCTGCCACTCCGGCGCATAGGGGGGGGCTGCTGCGGCAGAGGTGCCTGCCGTTTCTCCGAAGAGGGGAACTGCTGCCTCCGCTGCTGCTGCGGCTGCTCCTGCTGAGGAGGAGGAGGGGGGAGGTTTCCTTGCACAGGGGGCCCTTGGCAGCTGGCGCTTGCGTGCCGTGTGGGCGCTGCTGCGGCAGACAGCGCAAGCTGAGGAGGAGGAGGAAATTTTTCCCTCAGCGGCTCACTGGAGCTATCCTCCACCGTTTGACGAATAGCAGCAGCAGCCGCTGTAACGCAGGGTTGCTGTAACGAGGCATAGCTCCCAGGCAAATCCGTGGGCAGGGAGGGGTACAAGGGGGCGTCTTCGGTCTTCGCAGAAGGCGGGAAGGGAGCCTTATGTGCCCCTCCAAAATTGCCGCGAGATATTGCCTCCGTCAAATGCGCACCAGCGCGAGTGGCACTCAGCAGTTCTGCAGGGAGCGGGGGGGGAGGCGGGATAGGTGGGGGAGGGGGGGGCAGGAGGTGAGGGGGCATCCTTTGGAGGGATTCGTCGAAAGAGGAAGGATATTCCGAGGCGTCGAAAGACGTGCTGCTGCTATAAGGGAAGCCGCGTTGCTGCAGTGCAGTGGCAGACACTGCAGCTCCATGGAGAGCGTCGTTAGACGCGGCTTTGGCGATCTTGTCTGTTATCTTTGCGCTCTGACGCGTCACCAGGCGTGTAAGCTTCGAAAAGGAAGACCCCGTTAGGGACTGCCCACCTGTTTGGGGGCCCCTTGGGGGGCCCCTGGCCTCATCCATGAGGCGCCAGCGGCAGCTCGGGCAGAGCCCAGGGGGGGGAAGGCTTGCGGGAAATCGTGGGATGGGGGCCTTTGAGAATCGCTCTACATAGAGCGCGCTGTCGAGGCAAGGCTCGTAGGGATACAAGGGTATGACTGAGCCTCAATAGCAGCTAAAACCAGCGCCTGGACGGGTAAGGATGGACGACAGAGCAGCACGAGGGGGGCCCTTCCCCGTTGCTTGCGCTTCCGCACACGGCTGGAGTCCTTCAAAAACCCTGTGGCAGGTGGTAGTGGATAAAGAAAGTATTGTAGCTGAATAAAGGGGGGCTTCAATGGACAGTCCAGGCAGAGAGCGGCCATGGGCGTCGGCGGCGGTGTACCTACGGCCCCATGTATCTGATCCAGCAAATTGTGCCAGTTTCTGTCTTCAAATTGAAGCGAACAATAAATAAATTCGTTTTCAAGGTCGGAAAAAGCTTTTTTCGGCTGCTGCTGTTGCAGCTGCATCTGCAACTGCTGCTGCTGCCTGCAGCTAGGCCGCAGCGGCTCCCCCCTGAACCACCAGCAGCCACGTCCTGCCCTTCGCTAAAAGTGTCTTGACCCTTGTAGCATAAGTAATGGTTTATGCACGCAATTATGTTTTACTTTCTGCAAAGTTTTTGTGTTGGAGCCCTCATGGGCACATATACCATGCATCCTTAAGTTCATGACGCTCCGGGAAGGCCACGGCGGCAGCGTGTGTCGCCGTATGAATAGTGGGAGCCTACCTCCCTCTGCCTCTTTGTGCTTATTGCCTTGTCTGAGAATTTTGACTTACTACATTTTGCCTGGATTCAATTGCATGGCATACATCTTCGAGTTCATTATGGTAATTGCAGATACAGCTGGGATAAGAGGGGGTCACGGGGGGCTGACGGTCACCCGCTGGCCCCTACCGGCCGATATAGAGGGGGCCTCTGTTCGTCCCGTAACGTTTCCTTCTAGGCACCATTGATACATTTTGAGTTAAAAGGGGAATTCCTCTCCATTGCCTTGAGAATATATATATAGTATGCACGCAACGAAGATCTCCTTCCATGTCCCTTGCTCCCAAACACCCATCTGCGGCCCCTTCAGTGATTTCTTAGTAAATTTCCTTGTTTTGCAGCAAATCTCTTGACTATAGATGTGAATTCTACTTAAACTGCAAGGGTAGTCGTCTGGACCTTATATGTATCGCTGGGGATCTGCTCAGCCATGACTTCCTAGCTGATGGGCCCTACCTTAGTGCTTGAGCTTCTTATATTCACCCAATACATTCTTCCGAGGCGTAGGACAAACCCGAAATGCTCATATGCTGTATTTGGTGGACTTAGTGACCCATCTTGGCTGAAAATTTTGCAAGCCTACAAAGGTTGCTCTTTGGTTCAACTAGCCCACTGATCACACCGAATTGATGAAAATAAGATGAGTAAATTGGGTAGTCTACAAAAACGTTCGCAAGAGTATTTGACTGAAAAAACACTAAGCCCGACACCTCGAAGAAAAAGCGAGTCAGTGGCATCTTCCAAGCACATGACTCCTTGTGCCGCAAGGACGGAGGAGGCGGTGGCTATCTAGCAGAGGATAAAGAGGTATAAATAGCATTGTATGAGGCTCCGGATGGCTAACAGCAGATGCGGCTTTAGAGTACAGTCAGAATCATGTCGGTTGAGTGGGCGAATGACAAGGTATGATCCCGCCCTCGAATACTTCATCTAGTGGTTTCCTAGTGCTTTTCTAAAACAAGCTTTCCTTCTAATTCCCTTTTCCTGAATTCTTATATTCTCTAGCCTTCTGAGATTCATGATTATAAAGGATTTTTCAAGTGTACTGCATGGCTCCCTTGATATGGCGCTTTAGTAAAATCGGAGGGATCTGTTTAGAGATTTAGAGATTCCCCAGCTCAGTCTCGCCTTTCGCTGGGAACACACGTATATATAAAAGTCCACTCCTGATCGTCACCCCCAGAGGAGCACACTCTCTGATGGAAACGTATTCATTGTAGGCCTACTCAGTCCTTACCGGTACAAAGGTTCGTCGTCTGGCCACATGGCGGTGCCAAGTGTGGCAACGGTTTTAAGCTAATCTTGGCGAGCACCATACAACCATGCCCGCAATCACGATAAGCAGAAGCGCTCTCCCTTTATTTCTCTTCTTTGCAATATCAAAGTAGGAAGCGATCAAATGTGGGAACAATGCTTGGCTGGCCGCTACTAAAGCAAAAGGTGAGCAGCTGGGGCCCCAGCAGGACAAACACTAAACATGAAGTACAGAGGGGCCTGTGGCTCTACTTTACTCCGCATTCACGCACGCGAAAGGAATTGTTATTTGGGTTAGGCGCGTCTGAAAACCTTCAGCAAGGCATTCTCAAGTGCCTCCACCGATAAGGAGCACCGGTGTGCTTTAACAAGCAGCGGAGGCAGCACTGGAGCCGCCAGCTTGCAGCTCGAGAGACTAAATGGGGGGCAGATATGACTCTCACAAACACATGGGAGCACACAGCAGGCAGTTGCCACGAGGGAAACTGATGACTGGCCTTGGGAAAAGCAGTATGCGCGAAGACATACCGTTGATGGTTGACTTTTTAAATCAATGCATAGGCAACGGGGGGCGTGTAGCAGAGGGGGTCCCTCCCGTGCTACATTCCCCTCTGCACCTCCTCTTCCTAGTTTGTTATGTGTCTGCTTTTGCCCTTCCGTCTCCCTGATTTTCCTTCTTGCTCCTGACCCCTCGCGGATCTCTCGCATCCTTCTTCCACGTACTTCCGGCTTCGGGCCACATATCCATTCCAACCCTTCCCGCGAAAGACTTTTAGCGTTTTTGTTTGGCTCTTTTCAAGCGTCTACCCGTCGACTCCACTCGGCTACATGTTTGCATAGCTGACAGGCAGTGGCTCAAAGGTAGGAGGGAAAAATAGAGAGAGGGGCAGGCAGGAACTTACGGCACCTGGGCTGACAACTCTTAGAAGGCTGCACACACGAGGGATAGAAGGAGTACGACATGCAGACATACACAAATAAAGATCCACCAGGCTAGAAGGAGGACTTCAGAGATAGGAGAGTGCAAAAAGGCTTCTGAAGACACTTAGAGGATCCCGTGTTCTCTTCACTACGGTATTAGGAGCCCTGTGTGCATTCGAACGATCCGCTATACTGGTGAACTCCAGTGCGTGCAAGAGGCTCAGATGACTGTTGGCATACGCCTCAGCGTGTCAGACAACAGCGGGGCAGGGCCCTCCCAAATCTTTGCCAAGCCAAGCCTCCCGATGGACTTCAATGTAATGGAATGCGCGGTGATGATTTTTCTTTCTGCTGCTTCCATGCCATCTCCCTCCCCCTATCGATTTAGCTCTCCAGAAGTTACCCTTGGACGCTTCCCACTGCCTCTGCCATACTTGATAACGAATCTAGTAAGGACTAGACGCTTCGCTCGCCCCCCATAAAGGGTGCTTGGTGGCAGTGTAGGGTTAGCTCAATGCAGTAAGGATCAGTCTTGTGTGGCTGTGCGGCAGAGAGTGCTTAATAACAATGAGCGAATGCTCGGGGCCAATAGTGGACGCAGATCCGAGGTGCTCACCTGCTATCAAAGCGGAGCTCTGCGGGGTATACGTGCGAGGAGAGAACAGAGCACTTTTGGACGGAGACTTGGAGTTTTCCTCAATATTTTTATTTTTGGAAAGCCCTTTGGGCAATTTAAGTGGCTTCACAGGGGAGCCGCGGGGGTGTCCTACGAAGCCCTTTTCATAGCTTCATGTTTGAATAAGTTGCTACAAAGTCGCAATTCGACGGTTACCCCTACAGAGTTGTATGTCGAGCAGCGAGTGTGTATCGAATGGGGGTGTGAGAGTGTGTTTGTGCAACTGTATGGGCTACGAGTAGGACCCTTCTGCCAACCTCTTGTCTGTCCTTCTTCCCGCTTACCTCTAGTACCCTGGGGGGCCCTTGGGGAGCTCACAGGGGGAGGTAGAAGTCGCAGTCATATGTATGTGGAGGCAATCTGAGAGCCCCTTGATTCCTTGAACATTAATCCAAGTGTGGCCCTCCTTGTGGAGGCTGGTGGAAAGCCGTTGTCTGTTTCTCCAACTCTCTCTGTGTGCCGCGTGCAGTACAGCTTTGTTTGCCTGGGTATGGCACCTGCCTCAAATTCTTTGGGTAAACCCCAGTACGTCTTGAGCGATTTATAGCTTTTTGAAGCCGCACGGATACCGGCAGGCACTATTGTCTTTCTCCGCTCCGGCTCGTCAGAAAACTCCCTGGAAGGGGGCCCCTTATGTCGGGGGGCCCCAACGCCCTAGAGGGGGCCCCCCTGGGCCCCCCCTGGGCCGCCGCGTGGGCGGGTTGCTGACTAGCACCTTTCTGCCTACGATAACACACCAGTTTTTGTTTTAGCGTATTTTTTTCCTTCTATCTTTGATTTGAGCTAGCCTCCCGCTGATCCGTGGGGGCCGTGTCGCCTGTAGGGGCCCCGTTGCTGTATCCCTCTGCACCTTCGAGGGGCCCCGATCACTCGTGTGTATGAAACAGCGATGGAGCCGAAAAAAGGACTTCCGGCAGCCACTTTCGTCAGAAACGTGTGCATTCTTGCCCATGTTGATCATGGTAAGCCGGGGGTGCCTTTTGTACCCAGCTGAGGGGCCCCCATGTGTCCACGTAGAATCCTCTAGCACTGGCCCTTGAGGAAGCGCATGCTCTTGAAGACCCTTTAGCCTGATAATTGCATGCAAAAGCACTTCAAACGGCTGCGCTATGGCTTTCGGGTAGAATTTCGCGGATATTCCCGCCCGCTCAACGAGCGCAGGCGTAAAACCTGCTGGTGGGATATGGATCGACGTTTTTCATGTGGGGTGTTAGGGAATCGTTTTTCTGCTCCTGATCCATGCAGGCAAGACGTCTCTCTCTGACCGTCTGTTGGCAGTAAATGGCTTCATCTCAGAGGCCTCCGCTGCAAAGCTTCGTTTTTTGGATTCTCGTGAGGATGAACAAGCCCGTCAAATAACTATCAAGGCGAGCGTTGTGTCGCTGCTTTACCGAAGAACGACGGACGCGCAGGAGGCTTCTCTGCCTCCAGCAGCACATAGCCATCCGGATGGGAACGCCAGCGACTCCCCCCTGCATGCAGGGGAAGACTTTGGGGGGCCCCCCAGTGGCTTCCCGCCCAGCAGTTCACCGGAAAGCGTGCCGTATATGGTGAATATAATTGACTGCCCTGGTCATGTGGATTTCGCGTCTGAGGTACGAGGGGCCCCCAATAGGTCTCCTTGGCAGGAAAGATACTTGCACAGGCGTCTTGCTAGGCTTTGATTCCATTCGCCTGCGTTCTGTGAAGCTTGCCAGGCTTTGAGCGATCGCTTCCGCGCGATCTACCAAAGTGCCTCCTTCTCCATGCCTTGCTGTGCTGTGTGTCTCTTTTAGGTGTCTGCTGGAGTTCGCCTCTGTGACGGCTGCCTGCTGCTCGTGGATGCAGTGGAGGGCGTTTGTCCTCAAACGATTGCGTCGCTGCAGTGCGCCTTGCAGGAAGGCCTCTTGCCTGTTCTTGTCTTAACAAAAATAGATCGACTCATCTCAACTCTACAGCTCTCTCCGGGAGAGGCCGTCCACAGGGCGCAGGCTATCATTGAACAGGTAATATATATATATATATGTCGCTGCCTCGCATTTCTACTGGTCCTACATTCTCAAAGGCTCCTTCTCCACGTGTAAATATGGACGCACATTTGAAAATACTAAAAACAAACCCTCCTACTACCCCTGAGCGTCTGCAGCCGCCACTCCTTCCCCCTCCCCTCTCCCATTCAAAGGAAGGACCTCCATCGGCATCACGTGCTAGCGAGACGCATCACCCTGCAGCGCTAGACCGCGTTTGGAAAAACAATCAGTGCAAAGTTTGCACTCCAAAGTAGACTTGGTTTTAGCCGGAGCAGGCTGGACGGGATACTTCTTGTAGTAGCTGTACGCACATATATATATATATATGACACGGTGCATCAACACAGGGGGGGGGAGCTTCCCCCATTCTCGGTGGCTTTGCTGTAAGCTTGCGCCGCAAGGGAGGCGGCGTGGAACTGAGGGGATTGTTTGCTGTGTTCGCTTCCTGGTGGTAACGAGAAGCTCCTCGCGTTCTCGTCTTTAGGGCTGAGGGGGCCCCTCTCTCGTCTCTAGGACTGAGGGGGCCCCTCGGGTTGGAGGCATCCATTTCTCTCACACCTCAGCGCTTTTGAAGCGCATCTCTTTGTTTCGCGTGATGCCTCAAGAAAAAATCGCACACGGATATGTAGTGCCTCTGCGTCTGCGCTGCACTCCAGATGAATGCTCACCTCCACCAGCAGATTTGCTCAGAGGCTATCGCTGCGGAAGGCAAAGCCGGGGGGCCCCCCTCTGCGAAGGGCCGCCTTGCTGAGCATAGCACAAGGCTCGACGCAGCATCTGGCGAGCCTCTTGGACCGCTGGGGGATTCCAAAGGAGAATTCATCTACTTCGACGGAGATGTTGCGGGAAAACTGGAGTTTTGCCCTTCAAGAGGTCAGGAGGCAGGCTAAACTGCCTACTTCTTGCCTGCATCCTGTCTCTCTTTGTAACTCATCAGGAGGCAGGCTCAACTGCATTCTTCTTGCCTGGATCCTGTCTGTTCCTCTCTCTCTCTCTGTGTATCTGTTTGTCTGTCTGTCTCTTCTCAACTCATCAGGAGGCAGCCTCAACTGCATTCTTCTTGCCTGTATTCTCTCTCTCTCTCTGTCTCTCTCTCTGTCTCTGTCTCCCTCTCTGTCTCTGTCTCCCTCTCTGTCTCTGTCTCCCTCTCTGTCTCTCTCTGTCTCTCTCTCTCTCTCTGTCTGTCTGTCTCTCTCTCTGTCTCTCTCTCTCTCTCTGTCTCTCTCTCTCTCTCTCTCTCTCTCTCTCTCTCTGTCTCTCTCTCTCTCTCTCTCTCTCTCTCTCTCTCTCTCTCTCTCTCTCTCTCTCACTGAGCGCAGCCTCTCCTGCTACGTGCCCTCTCACAGTATCTACACTCCAGCATGTCCGTTCCTTCCCGCCTTTGCGTCGCCCCCCCTCTCGAAGAGCTTTTGGTTGCGCTGTATTGCCGCTGCTTCCGCCTCTACTCGCTGCACAAGTTGTGGTTCCCTCAGCTTTCCCGCTCCTGCAGCAGTCCGTGCATTGCGAAGTGTGGCGTGCTTCTTGTGCGCTGCAATCGCCGCTCCTTCAGAAAGGTTCGCGGATCGTCGGTAGGCCAGAGCAGCACGGGAGTCGTCTGTACGAAGGCGGCTGGAACCGGAGGTCCTAAGGCTGTGCACTGCCCCGAGTCTCCCGAGGGATGGGATTCTGTCTGCTTTCTTGTTGTGCCGTCGAACTGCGACGCTGTGAAACTGAAGATCCAACCCAAGGCAAGAAAAGGCCGCGCGAGACTGCGGCAGAGAGGGAGGGGGGCTAGCAGCGCTTGGGATGCGGCACAAAGGGATGGCGAACACATAGGCAGCTAGAGGCCTCTTGCTGAGCGGCGATGGATTCTGTTGAGAGACGTTGCAGAGGCTGAGAGAGAGCGTCTTGCTGAAAGGGAGGCAGGCACCTCATGTCGGAAACAGATACACTGACGACGATCTAGCCAGCAAATGCGTTTGTAAAAGAAGCAAAGAGAGGGGCTTTTGGCGGGCAGCGAGCGACTGAACGCGGTTCAGCAGCAGAAATGAGGAAACACGTCGAACCACGAGGCGCATTTCTGTAGACAGACGCCTAGACTGCGCAACGCCCCCTCCTGTCGCTGTCGTTGCTGCAGCTGCAATGGTTTCTGCTCCCGCTGATGCGGTCCTTTCGTTGTTGCTGCAGTTCCTGTGCGCGCTGCTCGCGGAGGTATTTATCATCAAGGAGGCGGCCGTTGATTTCGTGCTGAGACACTTCAGAGTCTGGCCAGAACCTCATACTGCCGTCGAAGCCAAGCTCAACAAAGTCTTCGAGGAGTCCGTTGTCGCTGCGACTCCTCTTGCAGGAGACTGCGCGCGGCTTTCTGCTCTTTGGGCCCTACCGCGAGTACACGGCAGCTGGGGAGTGTGCTGTGCCTCTGCGTGGACTGCTGCTGTCGTTTCTTAGCGGATGTCTCGCGCAAGACCCTATGCCGACTCGGCTGTCTGTTGTCGCGTGCTCCTGGGCTGTTGCCGCTCTTGTTTCTTCAGGCAAGAATACACAGAGGGCGGCATTCCGTCTCTGGTGGTGCGGCAGGAGCTTGCAGAGGCGCGGCTGTTTGCAGGTCACGAGTTCTTTGTTTGCGGCCAGACAAAGGAGGCTCACCTAATGAGGTATCCTATTGCTGATGGTCCCCGTGCAGTTGCTGGTGATGCGTCTTTGAGGATTCTTAGGGTCCAGATTTAGATTTAAGAATGTGCGTTTTTGATTTTGTGAACGGCTACTTGCTTATTCTCCAGGACGCTGGTGGCGATCGGCAACGGTGTACTTGCCCCCAAAGGAGACAATGCGGATTACGTCGTCATCTGCGATGAGGCACTCCCCGAGGCTCATGCGCTCAGAAGGTTCTTAACACATCCTATGCCTATGCCTTTTATGTCGATTGCCGTATATTTCGTTTCACCTCTATGCATAGAATTCCTTTTCCTCCTTTGTCTTGTTTCTCCCCAAACTGGATGTGCCCTCCAGTCCTGCCCATCTTCTATAGAAGGTCTTTCCGCCTCTGCATCTTCCTTTATTCATGAGTGGTTCTCGTGAGGCGTAATGCTTCTTTCAGCACTGTCGTACGCACAATTTTAGCCCCGCATAGCTTCGGTTTCCTCGCAAAGTCCGTATTTACTCGGAAAGCCTTGCCGTCAAGTTCTGCATTGCTACTTTTTGCTGCAGGCGGCTGGCGAGCCGCAACGAGGACGTTGTTGCTGCTACTCACGGACAAAAGCACGCTTCTTTGGTGACTCCAAAGTAAGCCTCGCCCAAATGCAGTTGTCAAGGAATCCGACAGGTCGGAGATGAAACGGCGATCCAGGCAGGTAGACATGCATAAGTGTTGTACGGCGATACACAGGCGAATGCCTTGTTGATGATAGGAAAACACTGTAGTTGCTGCCTTTTGTCCTGCAGGTTCCTGTATGATTGCATTACGCGTTGGGCCCTGGTTAGACCCTCAAGGCGCAGCGGCCACATTCCCTTTAAGAACAAACAGCTGACGCGGAAAGCCACTGTGGGGCCCCCCCAAGAGCCTTCCTAATTCTCCGGTATAGGGTCTGGCAGACCTTAGCAGCAGCTGTATCTTCTGCAACTTGCTACTCTGTCACCTGACAAGCTGTTCAATTTGCCAAGAGTGTCCATGCTCGTTTTGCAAGGGAAGCAACTCACGTGCCACCCTTTGTCTGTCAGTCGGTAGTGTCTGGCGTTTTCTCCGCTTGCATGGAGGACCGCCTCATCTCCTTCCCTCGACACATTCTCTTGTGCCGTTTCTTCATTCTTCTAGGTTAGCTCATTCGAATAGAAAAATCTAAGGCCTAAGTTCACAGAGAGATCAAGTAGAGACAGACCTACAGACAGAAGTAGCGCTTGACAGAGACTGCGAAAGGCAGGGAAAATTACTCTGCTAGGGACAGAGTGGGCTGAGAACGAAACAAAAAATGGGACGGATGGGACATGCGGAGCCCAGCACAGAAGGGGACTCTCAGAGACACGCGGCCATTGTTTGAAAAGCCAGAAGCCCTACTTTGGAAGCTAAAATTACCACAGACAAAGCACATGCATGTACAAGAGACCTCCCGTGAACGCAGTCCAATGAAAACTTGCATCCAGTGCAGTTGTCATCTGTTATACAGGCCTTCTCTGTTACTGTCTCTGTGTGGTTCAGCCTTTATGTATAGCTCCCAAATATGCGTTTGTGTGGGCTGAGCCCATCTGCGTATTTAACCGATAAACGCCATGTTTTATGTGCGGTGCTTGCCCCTCTACGGGCAGGGATCCACAAAGCAGCACCCTACTTTTGAAGCAGCAGGCAGTCTGTCGGTTGGCACGTGCTTTAATATACTAGGAAGGCATGCTTGCTGCAGTGCTCAGTTTTCCTGAGCTGCACTTGAGGGTTACAAGAGGCTAGGGAAAGGCTGCTTGAGTTATTGCGGGGTCAAGCGGCTTGCTGTCGAAGGGCGTTGGTGCAGATCACCGAGGTGGCTGGTTCATGGAGGGCGCCATCTGTTACTAGCTACGCTGTATTACACCAGGGCCGTCAAATAGCCCTGGGCACTGAGAGGAGCTCTCGGGACTGCAGCGGAGACAGGAAATCGAATTCGCTTGTGGGGGTGCCTGGTGGCGTTGAACCTTCGTGCTCTGGAAGGTGCCATGCTGCCGATACACTGTTCGACGGCGTATCCCTAGATGGGTAGCCAAGCCATCCAATCAATTTCATCATACGGATTTGTAGTGATGTTCTCTGGTGACCCGCAGTGGTCTGGGTGTATGTACACCACAACGCTTTGGGGGGTGACCTCCAGCAGTCGCGTATGTCCAAGGGCGGGGGCCCCACCGGCCCTCAATTGCAAGAATACCTCAGGGGCCTTTGCAAAGCGGCTAGGAGGAAAGCTAACGACGGCAATAGGGCTAGAAGGCGAAAGGGTTGCCCTTCCCCCTGTCACTTGGTGCCCCTTGAACTGCGTAAGGCTTGCAGGCAGCAGGTCTAACCAGAAAAGAAAGGGAAGCCCCTGCAAGCGCAGCGAGCTGTGGGAGGAGACAGTCGCCGCTATGTTATCCCCAAAGGGGGAAAAGACTTCGCACTCCTCTGTATGTTCTACAGGTTGCTGCCCTGTCGCTGTGTCGGCAGCAGGAGAAGGGCTCCTGTTATCTAGGCCGGGAGGACTGTCTCTAAAAGGAGCCCTTCTGTGAGCAAAGATATTATCCAGATACAGAAGCTGCAGGAAGGTGCGTCTCTGCTGTTGGAGCACCGCGAAGGCAAGCGGCCCCAAAGCCTTGTCTGCCTCATAAGGATCTCTGTCTCCTGGTGCTGTTATCCGAGCCCTCCATATTTTTCGGCCGCTGCCGTCTGTTACTGCGAAACTGCTCGTAACTAACAAGGAGACGGTCTCCTTTATCTCCTCCTTTTCCTGCTCTGAGGACGGCGGGGTGTTTTCTCCCTTGGAGGCGACTCTTGCTCTTGCCGGGCACGGGCTGGTGAGTTTGTGCCAGAACCCAGTTGCATCTAGTCCCCTAACTGCTACAAACACCTGCCTAGGTAGGAGCCCTTTGGATATGCCCTCTAGTGTCCCCCGAGGGGGCCCCAGCAAGACCCCAGGCTTATCCACTACTGCAGGAAAGTCGTATCGCCTCCACTTAGAAGAGACAGTGATAGAGTCTGTCCACAGCAGCTGGGAAGCCCTGCTCTGCTGTAGCTTCTCTCTCGTGGCTTTGTCTAAGAGGCACTCCACTGGTGCTAATAGCAGCAAAAGCAGCAGCAATGCCAACAAGCGCTGGGGCAGGAGACGTAGTGGGCTGGGGGCCCTCTCATAAGGAGTCTCAGGGAGGTGGACTTCGCGGGAAAACATATTCATTCTCTATATGTACACTTTAGCACCTGTATTCTAGGCAGAATGGACAGCAGCGGCCCTTCTGCAACAGCTGCAGCAGGCACATGAAAAGCCGCAGCAGCTGCTGCTGTAGCACAGGGCTGGGGTGCAGGACGGCCGCAGCAGCAGCAAGACAGGACCCTTAGGGATCACACCCAGCGCATTCCGTCCTAAATGAGTGTTTTTAAGCTTCTCCCTTTCCCATTCATTGGTTCACAGAGGGGCCAGGGGCCCCATGGCCAGTGACGACAGTGGTTCTTGGGGGCCCCCTGATACTGAACCTGCAAGTCGGCTGCGTTGCAGTAATAGCTGCAGCGGCAGCGACAAGTGATCTTCCCCTGCTTTTATGTGAAATGCTGTCTTGCGTTCAACTGATTCGTCTGCGGCTGCTGCTGCTTCTGTAGCTGCTGCAACTGCGCTGGTCGGCGGGAACCCTCCAACTAGGGATCTCGATCTTCTTCTTAAGGGCTTTAGGGGTCCCGTGGTGCCCCATGTGGACAGAAGCATATTCCTTCGAACAGGAATATGTCCATGGGGGACGTCGCTACCCAGCCCCCCCCCCCGCCTGCCTCCGGCAAAGGAGGGGCCCCTATCCCGGGGGGCCCCCCTCCGTGGCAGTGGCCTGAAGCTGCGGCTTTTGCTCTGCAGCAGCAATTGGGATTCGCTCCTTCAGCGCTACCCTGCAGCAGCAGTGCCGCTAGCAGCATACCAAGGGCGCTTAAGTTCATCCAGAAGTTGGTGGGGTTGCTCTTAGAGAATGGAGGTGACGCAGTCAAGGACCCTGGGCCTGCAGGAGGAGGGCCCCCTCAGCCTCCCCCCCCAATGCTCTCTCCCCGCGTAAGGGGAGTTCTCGAAGAATGTTTTTCTTGCTTGAGGGAAGCGGACGCTGGGTTGTGGCTAAGGCTGCAAGACTTGGAGGCAGAGGAGTTGCCCAGTCCTCAACGTCTCATAGGGTTTCTTACGGAGATTACTTCAAAGTAAATTTGAGGCCACCTAACAGTAGACCAGCTCTCGTTCCTAAGGTCGTGTTCCCTGTAAGAAGGGCTGGCTGTCACCGTAGGCTGTAAACTCCGACAGAGTGATGCTGTCTGGGGGGTTCGCTTTTCCGTGTCTCCTGGCACTGCTGCGCGCCTGAGCGCTCCTCAAGTCCATCTGAAGGTTTGCATTATGCTCAGGCTGAAGGCTCTAGGTCCTGGTGGCTTTGCGTTCATTCCAGGAGGCGTTCGTCTGGATGACGAAATGCCTCCTGTTCACTTTTTGTTTGTGGTGTACCGACACCCTGAAGGCAGCGCTGCAGCAGCAGCTGGCTCTGCTGCCGTTGCAGCAGCAGATGCCTTTGTGGAAGGCGGAACGGGCAACTACATGGACGGGCAGCTGCACAGCAGGCGGAGATTTACAGTTGCGCTCATCAACTCTTCGGGCTATGGCTCAGAGTACCACGCCTATGCAATCGAGAAGTGCCCGTCTCCAGGTAGAATTCACGGGGAAAACGTTTGCGCCCTAAAAGCTGTCTCTGTCTCCAGCGCATGCGCAGAAAAGCAAGGCGAGCGGCCTTCAGATGCCATCCATACCTGCAGCAAGAAGCTCCGACGCAGCAGCGGCAGCAACAACACCTGCAGGCACTCCTCGAAATAGGGCTGTCTCTGTTTTTGCGCTCAGGCTGTGTACTGCGAGACGCGCTGTTGGTGTTGGAAGACGTGCTGCCCGACCATTTGCTGCATTCTTCCTTCTGGTTCTTCGCCTTGCGGCTGTTGCTGCGTCCCGCACGCACAAACCTGCACTCGCTGTACACCGCAGTGCTGCCACACCTCAATTGCAAGCCTCTGCTGCACAACTGGCTGTTAGAACCTGCAGAAGGAGCTCCTCCCTGTCCTCGAGGTGTAAATCCTCTTCTCTACAAGGGCGCTGCAGCGACACGCGCTGCAGCAACAGCAGGAGACGCTTCGGGACGGCACAGGGGCATCGTCAGTTTGGCTGCCTCCACGCATCAGGAGGAGGCGCAGCCTCGCGCACTGGCTGCAGCAAGACCATCGACGCTCGGAGGCTTCTGGCTGCCTGCGCCCTCTCCTAGAGAGTCTGGAAGTGCTGTTACAGCGGCAGAGGCTGCGCTGCATTTCTTGCTGCGGTTAGGCTGCACTGCATTACTCCCTTCCCTGCTGCAGTTGGTGTGACTCTCCTCTTCGCGTATATGCCCCCTCCTGTGTGTCTTGGTGCGGAGTTTTCTTCCGCTTACTGCGACTTCTGCGCTCCTCGCGGCTGCGCTTTCGCCCACTTGTTTGCTCCTTCCTGCGCCCCTGTTGTTGCCCTCCAGTCTTCCCTTCACTCATTCCTTCTGAGCGCCTTGCGACCTCTGGCGTTCTCCACACACACACGCAGCCCAAAGTGTTGGCAGGCTTTGCACGCAGTTCGCTTTCAGCTGCAGCCAGCAGTTCCTAGCCGCGTGGGCTTCGCAGTGGCACTGCTCCTGCATGCTAGCACGCGCAAAAAGCCCACTTCTGCCTCCATGCTCCCCTGCTATATATGTATATGTGTGTATATAGCGGCCCCCTGTGGACTGTCAACTCTCTGCTTCCATACTGCGCTATGGTCTCCCGCTGCAGAGCTCAAGGGCTGTCAGCGAGTGAAGCCTTCAACTGCCACGTGTTGTTGCAGTGGGCTGTTTGCTGCCTCTTCTCGTCTCATCTCTCGAAGCTTCCTCCGAACGGCAGCGCAGCCTACGCGCTGTCGCGCAGCAGCAGTTTGCTCCTGGAAGCCGCAAGGAGACAGCTCGCGCTCAAGGCGAGCTTACGTGCCTGGCTGCAGGCTGACGCTCCGCAGGGGGGAGAGGCCTTGCAGCCTCATCACTTCCAGCGCTTTCAAGAGACGGATGCGAACCTCCTTTCTCTTCAGAGGACTCATTCCTCCCTAAACACGAGGGGCTTCGGGAAGGGTTCTTGCAGTCTTCATCCATCCGTCTTCTCGAATGCCCTTTTAGCGCCTCCGCCTGCCGCCGCTGCTGCTGAGGGTGGCACTGCAGCAGCGGCTGCTGCCACACGTGACGCTGCATCAAGAGCAGCACCTTGCGGCTGCTTAGAGTTTCCACTCTTTGGCAGTTTCAGAGTGCGCGAGATTGGGCCTGCGCAGAATGTTTCCGCCGCCTCTCCTCAGCGTCTGCTGCTGCCTGTGGATATTGCGGCTGCTGCTGCTCCTGTGGCTTCCGTTGAGGACGCCGTCCTGCGCCTTCGTTCCGCCGTAGACGCATGCGCCCTCCTAGAGAATCAGAGAGACACTTTGCATCATTCTTACGAGTTTCGATTCCAGATGCTGGCGTATCTCTTCCTCAAGGTACCTCCACCAGCCTGCCGTATGCCTGGCCTTGCGCACACAGCGGTGCTTCTTGTTTGTCTGGTCTTTTCGTTCGTTTTCTCCTTCGTTTTCTCGTTCTTTCTCTCGCGTGAAACCTGCGTGCACGCTCTGCCGGCACTCATGGCTGTGCTGCGCGGAGGCCTAGTGGCCTCACAGACAAAGGAGGAGGAGGTAAAAAGCGGTGCGCCGCTGTTCACGTGGAGATTGCCTTTCTCTGCCCCTTCTAGGGGTGCCTGCGCGTTTCTTGGCAGATGCCGTTTCTCTCCTCCTCGCTGCCCTGTGCTGTGGCCTCTCCCCTTCTTGCCTTGGTGCCTGCCTTTTTGCTTTCTCCAGAGCGAGCAGTGGCTTGCACGCGTCCTTTTGCTGCTCTTTCCTGCTGCAGGTGCTGCCATTGCCGCTACCTCTATCGGCGCCTCCCGAGAGCCCACGGTGCTTCTGGGGCAGCGCGACTGTCTCCCGCAGCACGCAGATCGAGTGCATGCGGCTGCTGCTGTCAGCAGCTCGCCACTTTGTTTGCTGCTGCTTCTCTATTAGGAGCTGCCGCACAACTGAAGGGCAGCGGCTGCTGGTAGCTGCTGCCATGTGCTGCGTGGCAGACCGCGTCTTACGCCTGCTTGCAGCCGACGCACCCTCCCCAGTATCCCTTATCTACTCTGGTCAGGAAGTCGGCGTAGGTAGTCCTTTCGGGGTGTCTCTGGAAGGCCTTACCTCCGAGGCTGCTTTCATCCTTCTCGCTGATCCAGACGCTGCCACGGCAAGGACGCAGGTAGAAAGATGTCGTCCTTCTTTCTCGCCGCAACTTCTCTCCTCTTCACGCCTCCCTCCCTCCCTCCTGCGCGCTCTTTCTGGAGCCTCCCCTCCGCGCTCACGACGACAGCTGCTTCTGCTGCTGCTTCTCCTGCTGCAGATTTTGGACTACTTGCACTCCACAGCAGTCCTCGCTGGGCCTGACCGCTTGCTCTTCAACTGGGGGGGGGGACGGGGGCGTTTTTCGCTGGAAGTTGGCGATTGCCTCTTCATGGATTGTCTGGCCCTCCGCTTGGCGTTCCCTAGGGGTTCTCCCCATGCTGAACGGCTGTTTACGGGTGTACACCAGGCCATGCTAGAGCTACTGCCCGAGTTGCGCTGTTTCAGAGATATCTGCTGCTATGCAAAGGCCCTCACTAGCGACTGCCCTCCAGACAAGGCTCCTTCAACGCGGAGATGGACTTCTTCAGATGCTGCCTTGCACTGGGAGTAGGTCCTTGACGGCTCGCTCCTTGATCCCTACTTGCCGCCTACAGTTACCTATATATATGTGTATATGTATATGTAGTCTTGAAGCGCTCTGATGCTGCCCTAATGTCTTAGCTTTCGTCCACAAGCAAGCACGCGCTTTTGTCCCCTTCTGCATGCCCTGTCTCTGACGCTACCTTATCTTCTGTGGCAGCTCGCTGTTTACATCAAACGCAGCAGCAGCAGTAGCAGTAGCAGCCTTTGCGGCGTCGCTGGTAAGGCTAGCTGATTTTACTTACGTCCGTGTATGTATGTGTGTATATGGATGTATGTGTATATGCGTGTGTACGTATATATGTGTATGTATACATGTGTATGTATACATGCGTATGTATGTATACATGTGTGTGTGTGTGTATGCATGCATGTGTGTGTATTTGTATTTACATATATATGTGAATGCGTTGTATGTGTGTATGTGCGTTGCAGCTTGGAAGAGGAGAAGGGAGGGTCTATACACCTCGTCATTTCCGCCTTTGGGGGTGTGCAGCTGGATATATCCCCTCCTAGCAGCAGCAGCAGCAAAGAAGCAAAGAAGCGGCATAGGGGGACAGCCCTTCAGCGCTTTTTTGCGGATTGGTTTTCGGGCAGAGATAGCCGCCGCGGCCGCTTTTCCTTAGCGGATCCGAGTAATCTGCTGCAGGGGCTGCTGCCTACTGCCGCGGCTGCCACTGCTGCTTCGAGCGACGTGTCTTTATCGGAGGATGACGTGCTGCATATCAAGTGTCTTCCCTCCTTTGGAGGCCGGCTGCCAGCCGCCGATGCGGAGCTGCTGCTGCAGTTTCTAACAGCTCCTTACTTGCGCATTCCCCTGCTGCTGCAGTTCTTCGGGGAAGGCTCCAGGATCGAGTGTCTGTGCTGCCCGGTGCTGCAGCAGGTTCTTGCTGCAGCGCTGTTTGAGCCTTGGCACTTCCAGCACAACGATCTTGCAGCAGCAAAAGGCGGGCCTGCTGCTGCCGCGGGAATCGGCTGCGACACCGCGCCACCTCCCTCCCCCGGGTGCCTGGCAACGCCAGTCGGACTGCTCTTCAATGAACTGCTTCTCTCGCCGCACTCTGTCCTCGCAGCGCTGGAAGCCTTGCTTGATTTGAGTCTCGAGAAAAACACGGGCACCCACAGCGGCCCGCCAGCAGCAGCGTTGCTCTTTGTGCTGCGCCTCACGACACACATTCTCAGCTACCTCAAGTTTCTCCTTAGGCACCGCAGCTTCTGGAAACGCGGGTGGAAGCCTTGCTCGGTTCCCCTAGAGTTGGAGGGGCAGGCGCATGCGCTGGACTGGCAGCCGCAAGAGCACCCGTCCTCAAGGGGAGGCGGCACGCGGGTGACGGCCTCCTCGGAAATCAGCGGCTTGCGCAGCGACAGCGTGTCTGGATGTGGATTCGCTGCAGCGATTAGAGGTCTTGAGTGCAGTGCGGAGACTGCCCAAGTGTTGCAGAAGTACTTAAAACGCCTCAGCCGTCGCGTGTCTGAGGAGGTGGTGCCTTTGCTGCGGGGATGGTTGCACGGGGCGTTGGACTGCTGTGACCTCTCTGCCGCCTGCAAGCTGCATGCACACTTGTTGCTGACCACCAAAGATGTTTTGTGGGAGGATCTCACCTGCAAAACGGTCTCCGAGATCGTCTCTTCCATGTTCTTTCTCTTCGCTCATCACGCATTCGCAGGGAGCCTCACAAGTCCCCTCCTGTTGCAGCAGCATGCAGGCTTGCGCGGCGTCAACAGCGGCAGCGCGGCTTCTGCAGCAACGCGAAGCGGACTGCCCCCGGCAGCAGCAGCAGCAGACGGACCAGCAGCAGCCGGAGTAAGGGATGGGGGTGCTGCTGCAGGAGCAGCAGCAGCAGGAGGAGCAGCAGCAGGAGCAGCAGGAGCCGCAGCGGCTGCTGGAGAGGCCCTGGGTGTTTCCGACGCGGAGATCTTCCAGCTGCTGCAGCAGCACCGCTTGAAGCTCATTCGGTGGCTCGACATCCACGCAGACGCAGCAGGAGGAGTGCTGGAGTCGGCTATTCAGGCAGTTACCTTCGCGGGCAGCCGTATGAGCGCTGCACGGGCTGCAGCAGCAGCAGCAGCCTCTGCAGCGGCAGCAGCAGCTGCTGAAGGGCACGACTCTGCGGCAGCTGCGTTGGCGGCGTGTGCTGCGGCAGCTAATGCGCTTGGAGTTGCAGGCAGTACAGCGATTTCCAACAGCAGCAGCTGCCCTGCCCTGACTGCGCCGGCTGCGCTTCTTCCGGCAGCCCCCTCCCCGAAGGCAGCTGCTACAACAGCATCATCATCGTCATCAACCCTCGCAGCAGCAACTCCAGAAAAGGCGGTTGGGACCAGAAGATGGCGAGCCGTAGGGGGTCTTGGAGTGTCGGGGCGTTACATTCCTGCAGCAGCAGCGACATCTGCAGTGGGCGGCAGCAGCGGATTGCACCAGGATGCAGCTGCGGAGGCTTCTGCCTCTTCTAGGGGATCCATGGAGCTCGATGAGCAGCAGCAGGAGCAACAGAAGGCTGGGGGGGGGGTGGGGTTACTGCGCGGCGCAGTTGTTGCAGTGCACGCAGCTATGAAGCGCAGCACGATGCGGCTTCTGGGGGGAGAAGCACCGCCCCCTCTAGCCGCAGCTGGGCAAGCCACCACTTACGCGGCGGCTCTCAAAGCCTCCCTCGCTATGGAGTCTGAGGTTCAGGCAAATCTTCAAGTGCGTGCTGACTGATTGGCGTGACTGCGCGTGGGAGGCATAAGGTGCAGCAGCCTGTGCTGCTGCACGCCTCAGGCGCTTGTTGTGGCAGTCGTTTGGGGGCGTGCTTGCTCATAGTAATTGCTCTGCTGCAAGCTGGCTGCTTCCCCCATGTCTTCTCCTGCTGTGCTGCGGTTGCTTGTGTTGCTGTGACGCCTGCAGACAGCCGAGTTGTCTCTGCGGCAAAATCACATGCAGCTGCTGGGGGCCTGGGTTAATAGTTTTTCTGACTTTTTGCGTCTCTTTGGCGTTGTTAGCCACATGTCTCCGATCCAGACGGCCGTTGTTGAGGAAACGCAGGAGCGCCTTTGGGTCCGACTGCTTGGCCTCGACCACGACCTTGTAAGAAAGCTGCACGACTAGCTAGCTAGCTAGCTAGCTATCCAGGAGTTTTCCCTAGTAGGGTTGCTCGCTAGGCGAGGGACAGTCAGCCAGCCGCCTGGCTCGCGAGTGGCGCAGTGGCGCTGGCGAAAACGTTCGGTGTGGGGAGGCTTGGGGTAGGCTGGCAGGTTTGTGCATATGCCTAGCTGCTGCTGACACAACCTTGCTGCTGCGCGCCTGATTGGCTGGTCTTGAGTGAGCAGGGCATGTGGGCGTTTCAAACAGAGCAGGGAGGGATCGTCTTTATCGGGGATCGTCTTCATCGGGGATCGTCTCCATCGGGGATCGTCTCTATTGGGGATCGTCTCTATTGGGGATCGTCTCTATTGGGGATCGTCTCAATTGAACGGGTCAGATGCGGGGTGGGTGGCTTTCTTGCGTCTCTTCAATGTGTTTTTTAGGTTCGTTGGTCTCCGTGTCCAGCCTTCTTCTCCGGGAGTGACGCCTTGCAGAGCGCCTTCCCCCGTGAATATCGTGTGGGAAGCAGCAGCTGCTTTGAAGCCGAAGAGGCGTGGGTGGCTCCGCATGCCGAGGCCTTCTTCAGCAGTCACTTTGTGGGATCGCAGGTGTACATCCAGCGTGCTCCAAGACTCAGGGGTCTTCAGGCTGCCCAGCAACTCTTTGGAGACTGGACTCGTGGCGTCTCGCGCAAAGCAGCTCATGCAGCCGCTGCTGTGGCAGCTGCCACGGGAGCAGCAGCGTCCCCCTCTGCGGCAGCGTCTTTGCCTGCAGTGCAGGGGTCCGTGGGGAAGGGGAAAGAGAGCTCTCCCGTCCTTCGCGAGAAGGGAGCTGCCGTGAGCAGCTATAGTGGCCATAACAGCAGCCTCGACAGCTGTACCTGCATGATGCGCTTCTGCGTGTGGGTGCCCGATGCATCTCGGATGGAGGCGAACGATCTCAGGGAGTGGCTCCCCGTAGAGGCCGCTGGTCCTGTGGAGTTTCAAGCGCTAGCTGAGGCTTTTGAGGCTCAGGCAGCTCGCCGACCAGAAGGGCCAACTGTTGCTTGTAAGGATCCTTTCTAGGACTGTCGTTCTCCAGAAATTTCTGTCTCTCTCAGAGCACCATGAACACATACACGTTGCAGACGCACTTCCTGCAGCGCGAGGTGCTGCCACTCTGTCTGTCTGTCTCTCTCTTTTTCCCTATTTCTCTCTCTTTTTCTCTCTTTTTCTCTATTTCTTTCCCTTTCTCTCTCTCTCTCTCGGTAGGTGCATATGTGTCTCTCCTTTTCTCTCTCTTTTTTTCTCTCTTTTTCTATCTTTCTTTCCCTTTCTCTCTCTCTCTCTCTCTCGGTAGGTGCATATGTGTGTGTATGTGCAGAATGTGCGTGCAAAAGTGTGTGCATTGCTGCTGTCCTCGTTGCTATGCCTCAGCTGCTCTGTTGACCAGCGGAGTTGCAGCCGCTGCTGCGGCTGCAGCTGCCGTGTCTGGCGGGGCAGCCGCTTCCGCAGAGGCTGGCAGCGAGAAGGCCCCTTTGGTGTTGAAGGAGGTTCTTTTCGTGCGGAGTCCTCCAGGTGTATTCGTGTTTGATTTGGTGGAAAGCGGTCGCCAGGTATTCCGGCAGTTGTGCTTCTCTTCTCGTTTAAGGACGTCTTTTGATTGCTCGCCTACGAAGCGGCTGGGCCCCCCCGTAGGGGCCTCGTCTTCAGAGGCCCCCGAGCTCGCCGCGGGATCGATCTACGCAGTTCCCGATCTCGGCTTAGCCTCGGAGGAGGAAATCGCAACTGCTGCTGCAGCGGCAGCAGCTGCTGCCGCTGGGGAGGAGGGCGCAGGCGGAGCAGTTGCCGCAACAGCAGCAGCAGTGGCGAGCGACATGGCCTTGCACGCCGTTCCCGGTCTGGAAGCCAAAGGCCTCTACAGCTCCTCCCTCGTAATTGCCCGACGCAGGGGCACAGGAGGCTCTCGAGAAGTTTTTGTGCCTTCAAGACATCTCAGGGTGAGCAGGAACGGGCTGCACCAGCAGAGCTTCTACAGCCTTTTCCCCCCCTGTGGACAGTAGTCTTCCCACAGCTGAGATACCGCACGCGGGCTTCTCGAAGGCATCGCGCTTCTCTCCTCCAGCTGCCTTCCAAACGCTGGACTACCGATTGCTGCCCCTGCTGGACTGTAGACATGTCGACTTGCATGCATGCGTCGCTGTGTGAGGGCTGTATGTGTCCATGTATGGAGGTGCACATTTCTATGTAGGTATACACATATATATATAGCTATATCTATATATGTACGTGGATTTCAATCGCTGTAATATATATATATATAAATATATGTATGTATGTGTTTTTTACGCTTCTCAGGGTCTTCTGCCCTACTGTTTGCTGGAGGACTTTGAATTTTGGGTTTGTGACGAGTTGTCTCTACTTACCGGATACCAGCGAGCCCGTGCGGCGGAGCGCATGCTGACTCCCTATCGTCTGTACATACACCTCATCCACACGGCCGAGGGGCCTGGCCTGGCAGCAGAGGCGAGTGCAGTGATCCGCCGGGTGCCTCTAAAGACACGCAACGAAGCTCCCAAAACAGCAGCAGCAGCAACGGCAGCAGGAGGAACGCGAGCCTTCCCTCACAGTGCTACCGGCAGCAGCACCAAGAGTTTCGAGAAGGAAGAAGAAGACCTTTCAGCTCCAGCGCAGACGCTTGTAAACCTGATGCTGGCCCCTGACCAGTCGCCTCTAGGCCACCTCAGAGACAGTCTCCTGAGGGTAGAGGCCTTAAGCCACATCCTCGTGTGGACGCAAAGCGCGCGCATGCCGCAGGGGCCCCAAGACGTGGAAGCCTTAAGCTGCGATGAAGGCAACGTCGACGCCATTGAGCTACCCAGGTATATCATCCAACGGGGGGAGGCCTCGCCTCTCCTCTCACTGTTTCTGTTGCTTCTTCTGCTGCTTCTTCTGCTGCTGCTTCTGCTGCTGCTTCTGCTGCTGTTGGTGCTGCTTCTTCTGCTGCTTCTTCCGCTGCTTCTTCTGCTGCTGCTTCTGCTGCTTCTTCTGCTGCTTCTGTGCATGTCCCTTGCTGCTCGCCCTTACGGGAGGGTCACACTGTAAGATGCAAGCCATCGAAGGCCTCTACTCTGTGTCGCCGCTCCCTCCGGCAGGGAGAGACTCCACATTCGGCTATGAGCGTCTTGCTGCGCTGTCAACTCCGCAGGCTTGGCGTCTCCTTCAAGGCCGTGCGGCTGCCGCAGCGAGTAACGCCCTCTACCCAGCAGGGGCAGCAGACACCCCAGGTGAAATTCGTCTGTGAGCAGCACGCCGGCCTCTTTCTAGCGTCTGGAAACATCTTACGATCTTCGTTAGCCTCGCGAGTGCTGCAAGGTCTCCAACCCTCGCTGCTGCTATCCAATGACGAGGGGGAGCTGTTTCTCCTGATCGCCGCATCGAATAAGCCTCTACGCGTTCTGCGCAATCCCTTCGCAAGGGATGTGCTCTTGACGCCTCAGCAGCTCCAGGCCAGCTCCTCCAGCGCGTCCCCTAGAGCTGCAGCAGCAGCAGCAGCTGCTGCTGCTGTAAATGCTTTCAACCCTTGGGCAGCCGCTGAGAGGCAGCGGGAAGTCGACGAACGGCTGCTGCTGCAGACGGACTTGGTGAGTGCTGCTTCAGCAACTTGACGAAGGCTGTCTTTCGTCTGCAGGTTGTGAGTCTTGGCGCTGCGGTGGGGACGGACCGCTGAAAGACGTGCCTGCGTGGTTTGCTTCTGAGGTTGCCTTTTTCGAGGCTTGCACGTTTCGGGGGCTCTTACTGAGCGATTGATCACGCGCACTCAAATTGCCTTTAGAAGCTCTGTCCTCCCTTACCTTTTGAAGGCTTTCGTGCTGCTGCTGTTGTTCTTGCCCTTCCTCCTGCATTTACTTTTCCTCTTGCTTTTGCTCTTCCTCTTCCTCTTGTTTTTGCTCTTGCTTTTGCTCTTCCTCTTCCTCTTGCTTTTGCTCTTCATTCTGCTCTTGTTTTTGCTCTTGCTTTTGCTCTTCCTCTTGCTTTTGCTCTTCTTCCTCCTCTTGCTCTTCCTCTTGTTTTTGCTCTTGCTTTTGCTCTTCCTCTTGCTCTTGCTTTTGCTCTTCCTCATCCTCTTCCTCTTGCTTTTGCTCTTCCTCTTCCTCTTCCTCTTCCTCTTCCTCTTCCTCTTCCTCTTGCTCTTCCTCTTCCTCTTCCTCTTCCTCTTCCTCTTCCTCTTGCTCTTCTTCCTCCTCTTGCTCTTGCTCTTCCTCTTGCTTTTGCTCTTGCTTTTGCTCTTGCGCCTCGAAGCCCTGCAGCACAGCAGGAGTTCGAGCATGCGCACGTTGGAGGGTGCGTTGTGTTGTGTGCCGGTGGATCTGTGCTGTGCAGGTGCTCGATATTGCTTCCCCCGAAGTGGTTTTTGACCCGTCCGACAGCAGCTGGATTTCGGCGTTTCCGGGGTCTCGACACTATTTGTGTAGCCTTCACGCGTCTCGTTCTTTCTTGTTCATTCCAACCGTCGCCTCCGGACTGTATGTGCTGCTGCTTCGGTATCTTAGCCGGCAGTTTGAGGCCTTCTGCTCCATGGCGGACTCTTTGTCTCTCTCGGAGACGGATGGCAGCAGCGGCAGCAGTCACTGCAGCAGCAGCGGTAGCAGCGGAGGCAAGGAGAGTGCGGCGGCTGTCAGAGGGCTAGGAGAGGAAGGCGAGATATGGAGGCACATCAACAGCCTGATGGGTAGATACTCCGATCCGCATCCCGACGCTGTAGCATCGCGTCTTCGCTTGTGGCTAGCGGCGAATCGTCAGGGTTTAACAGCGCAACCAACGGGGGGCCAGGCTGCGGGGGACGTGCAACAACACCAAGATCATCATCAGCAGCAGCGAGAAAGCAGCCACGGCAGCAGCAAGCCGCACGGCAGCAGTATCAGCAGTAGCAGTACCAGCAGCAGCAGCAGCAGCAGTAGCAGCAGTCGTTACCGTGGCAGCCAGTGGAAGAAACGGTTTGGTAGCCTCTTAGGCCTGTCTTGGGGATCTGAGAGATCTGCTGAGGGGTTGATGTTGGATACACCAGCGACGGGAGCAGGCAGAAGGGTCTTCCGCATAGACACCTCATGGCCGCTAATGCAGGATGTTCTTGCCTACGTCAGGAGGCAGCGATTCGTTTCCGCAGCCTGTCGTCTTCCTCTTGCAGAGGAGCTCGAGCTGCTCAGACTTTGCAACACAGCTAACCAGGCCCTGCCAGAAATCACCAACCGGCAGACGATCGTGGAAGCCTTGCTGCAGCAGCAGCACGGCCCCCCCCCGTCCGACGCTCCAAGCGCTGCGCGAATCCAAGAGGAACCTCTCATCGGGATCCCTGCCAGAAGCGGCTCCGAGGAAAAAGAATCTCGTCTCCGCCTTCTCTTCTCGCTGGATGGCGTGCAGGCTGTGCGCACTGTGTGCCCCTCGCGGCCGCATATCGAGGATTTTGACGCAAGCGACGCCTCCGCAGCGCTCACGCCACTCACCTGCCTCTCAGCGCTCACCGACGCTTGCGGAGGCTCGATGGTTTATAGGCGGCCAGACGAGGAGCTCCTCAGAGGGGCGGAAGGCCTCGAATTCGTCGGAAAGACTCTCGATCGAGGCGTCAAAATCTCCGACTTCATGCTGCTCTACGAGCTCCTCACGGATGCGCTGCCCCTCAGAGTAGCTCCCGGGGAGGCTCCCAGGCTGTGGGGGGCCCTGCTGCTGCGGTGTCTTCCGTCGTGGGATCTTCGAAACAAGGGCCGTCTCCTCTCCATCCTGCGGCTGCTGCTTGCGAATCCACATCTAACCGGCAGCTTTCCTCAGCTGCACGAAGAAAAAAAGTCTAGGCTACCCCTAGGCCTCGCTTTCCGCTCCCCAGAACCCCTGCAGCACTTCTTCAAAGACATAAGTCAGGCACTACTCACGCTGCGAGAGACAGCGCAGCTGCGGCTACCAGCCGTCGCCCCCGAAGGTCTCCTGGGATCGATCCCAGACTCGACGGCTGTGAGTGAACACGCAACAATTGTGCGCGCCTTGCGGCTTTCGCACTGGTCAATAATTCCTCGATATGCCTCCTAACCTCCCTCTACTGCACGCACTATCGTTTCTCCGCAAAAAAATTCGATCCTTCTCTCTCTCTCTTATCCGTAAAACACATGCGCAATGTCTCTTTCTCTCTCTTATCCATAAAGCACATGCGCAATGTCTCTTTCTCTCTCTTATCCATAAATCACATGCGCAATGTCTCTCTCTCTCTTATCCATAAAACACATGCGCAATGTCTCTTTCTCTCCCTTATTCATAAAGCACATGCGCAATGTCTCTTTCTCTCTCTTATCCATAAAGCACATGCGCAATGTCTCTCTCTCTCTTATCCATAAAACACATGCGCAATGTCTCTCTCGCTCTTATCCATAAAGCACATGCGAAACGTCTCTCTCTCTCTTATCCATAAAACACATCCGCGATGTCTCTTTCTCTCTCTTATTCATAAAGCACATGCGCAATGTCTCTTTCTCTCTCTTATCCATGAAGCACATCCGCGATGTCTCTCTCTCTCTTATCCATAAAGCACATGCGCAATGTCTCTCTCTCTCTCTTATCCATGAAGCACATGCGCAATGTCTCTCTCTCTTATCCATAAAACACATGCGCAACGTCTCTTTCTCTCTCTTATCCATAAAGCACATGCGCGATGTCTCTCTCTCTCTCTTATCCATAAAGCACATGCGCAACGTCTCTTTCTCTCTCTTATCCATAAAGCACATGCGCAACGTCTCTCTCTCTCTTATCCATAAAACACATCCGCGATGTCTCTTTCTCTCTCTTATTCATAAAGCACATGCGCAATGTCTCTTTCTCTCTCTTATCCATAAAACACCGTCTCGTCTGTTGCTTTTTGCCCATCTTAGGTATTTGGTTCCTCTCATTGGACGCGGCGCTTCCTCACGTCTTCCAGGATCACAGACTTCGCGTGCGAGGCTCGTCTGCTGCTGCCTTTTGACGGGGCAGAGTATGTAGACGTCATGGAGGCAGCCGCAGCACAGGCAGTTGTTGCTGCTGATGCAAGCGGCAGCAGCAGCAGCAACAAACAGGCGCAGGCGGAGCAGCTGCAGGAAGTGCGTGCTGCAGCTGCAGCAGCGGCAAGAGAAGTGGTGGTGGACTGCGAGTTGCTGCGGGCACTCATGAGAAAACCACTGGAGGAAATCGCGGAGGGCCCCTTGCTGACTTTTGATGCAGCAGGAGACGATGAGGAGGGGCTGCAAGGCACCCTTCCATTTGACCTTTCCCTTCATCCTATTTCTGGAACGGCAATTGGGAAAAATACCATCCAGCGGCTCAAGCACGAAGTTGCGGCGCATGCTAAGCAGGTCAGTTGCCTGTGGTTTTGCCCGTAAGCTGCTTTACGCGTTCCTACGGCCTTCTGCTGCGAGTCGAAACTTCCATCTGCGGGTGCCTTGGCTGGGGATGCTGTTTTGGTGAACATCTTGTGGAGTAGCATGGCGTGCTGCTGCCTTCGGGGCCTGTCTGTTTGTGTCGCACATTACCTGTATCGTGTTGACTGTCCACATGACCTCTATCGTGTTGATTCTCCACATGACCTCTATCGTGTTGATTCTCCACATGACCTCTATCGTGTTGACTGTCCACATTACCTCTACGCTGTTTCCGCAGCAGCAGGAAGCGTCTCAGAGGCTATGCCTCGCAGGATATCGGCGCGAGGAGATCGCAGATCTGCTGCTCTCTCCCTCGTGCCTCTCCTCACGAGTCTCGGACTTGTCGGGCTTGCGGCAGCGACTGTTGCAGTGCTTTTTGAGGGATGGCAAGTTTGTGGAAAGAGGCATTCGGCTGCTGCAGGCTCTAGCGACGCACGTGAAGGGCCTCGACGAGGCAGCTCCTGCTGAGCACCGGCAGCAGAGTCACCAGGATCAGCAAGAGTTGCTTTTAGCAGCCTTGAAACAGCAAGAGGAAATAGACAAGAATGATCTCTCGCGCTGGAGAGTGCGATGCATGCAGTGGGCTTACGCTTTGGGGAGAGCTGCTGGAACTGAGGCCACTGTTTCCTTCGACTCTCTTGTGTCACTTTCCATGTCGGCTAATGCAGGAGAGGTTCTCCTTCTCCTCAACCCTTTCCTTACCCCAAGTAAGAAGCGGCGTCGCAGCGGCTCCATTTCTTGCTCCTCGCCTCTCCGACGTCTATTTACATGCCGCTACGCTAGATACGTTCCGTGAAGCGCAGCACAGCATAGCACAGCGCATTACTCGCTAATCGGGTAGAGCCACTACCGTCTCTACTGCCCTTTCTGGTGCTGCCGTCACTGCTGCTGCGGCTGCCGCGTGTATCTGTATGCCACAGAGATGGTCAGAGACATCCTCAGCCTCGTAGGCGCTGTCATGCTGGCCGTGAATCGTCGGTCTCAGATCTGTCGCTGCCTCCAGGGAATAGTTGAGCTGATGCAGCTTTTGAAGACGTTTTCTTCTCGCGCTCGTGTGGCGGCCAGAGAGGGCAGTCAGCCGAAGCAGCATCTGGAAGGTGGCGGAAGAGCAGTCGCAGCAGCACCGTCCGTCGCGACGAGCTCTGAAATGCAGAAACTGCTGTCTCAGGCCATACCCGCGCTGCACATGAAGGCTCAGTCCGTTGCCGAGCAGATCAGCAGCGAGCGACACTACATGCAGGCAGTAGTTGCTGCACCAGGAGATGCCGCAGCAGTGCTGGAGGAGTCTGGATTGCCCCCCTCTGCAGTGCCTCCTGAGCGAGGCACCGTTCCCGGAGCTTCCTACGATCCTCGCTACTTGGTCTTCGAATTCGCCTATGGCCTTCTACTGAGGCAGCCGCAGGTAGCGCTGCTGCGTCAGTTCCGAGACAGTGTGAATGCTGGTCGATCGCTCTGCCATCAGATGATCATGGGCTCTGGCAAGACTACTGTTGTTTCGCCCCTACTGGCCCTGTTGTTAGCCGACGGAAAACGCCTCGTCGTGTCTGTAGTTCCCCCTGCCCTCCTGCACTTCTCGCGTGCCTCTCTGCGAGAACGCTTCAGCGCAATCTTCCAGAAGGGAGTCTTTGTTCTGTCGTTTGCCCGCACGGATGCTGTCTCCGCCGCGCTGTATTTGAAATTGCTGCAAACGCGAGACAGCAGAGGCATTGTCATCACCACTCCGACAGCCATCAAGTCCTTTCTCCTCAAAGCTCTCCAACTCATGCACTTTCTGCAAGCTGCCAATGCAGCCAACCCGACCAAGGGAACTCTTGCACAGAGCTTTCTCGCAGCTGAGAGCCTTGGTGCTTCCCACCTCAAAAAACTGCAGTCTCAACTCTCGAAGTTTCTCAGAATGCCGAGGACTGGTCAGCTTGCTTCCAGCGATCCGCTTGTCGGATGTCGTGGCTGCTGCTTACCCTGCTCTGCCTCTTCTTGCGGTCTTGCTGCGTCTCTCTCTCTCTCTCTGTCTCCCCTTGACAGCTCTTCTCCTGTCTTTGCTGCGTCTCTCTCTCTCTCTGTCTCCCCTTGACAGCTCTTCTCCTGTCTTTGCTGCGTCTCTCTCTCTCTCTCTGTCTCCCCTTGACAGCTCTTCTCCTGTCTTTGCTGCGTCTCTCCTCTCTCTCTCTGTCTCCCCTTCACAGCTCTTCCCCTGTCTTTGCTGCGTCTCTCTCTCCCTCCCTCGAAAGACAGGGCAGCCGCAGTAGCGCAGACGCGCGCACAAATCAAAGCAGCCTTACATGTGCATTGCTTCACAGTCTCTCTCCTGCGAAAATGCGTGTCTGCAGGCTCAGGAACCACCCTCGGCGAGCTTGAGGACGGCTTTCCAAGTGCCTCCCCCCACACGATGACGGAGCAACAGCTGCGCTCCTGCAGACGAGAGCTCGATATGGCCTTGCGCGTCCTCGAGCTGTTTAGGGCAGGCGTTCTGATCATCGACGAAGTCGACGAGGTGCTGCAGCCGCTCAAAAGCGAACTGCACTGGCCTCTAGGACAGAGGCAGCCCCTCGACTTCACTGCTCGCCAAGGCTTCTCCGCATTTCCAGCTGCGACGTCACACCCCCCTTCGCAGAAGCAGCCGAAACACGCAGCAGGAGCAGCGGCAACGGCAGCCATGGCAGCAGCAGCAGCAACGGCAGCAGCAACGGCAGCAGCAGGAGCACCCGATGACGCCTCAGACCCTCTTATCGCCGCTCGGCAATGCGAGCAGCCCTTGCAGTGGCTTTTTGAGGATGACGAAGGGATGCGCTGGCAGCTTCCCTGGTTCCTTTTGGATCCCCTTTTTTATTTTCAGAGGTGAGTTCTCTCTAAGCGGCTAGCAGGGGTCTTGGGGAAACTGCGACGAGACGCGCTAGAGACAGTGTGTGGTTTGAATAGAGCTCTCGACGGCCGGAGGCTGCATCGAGCAGGCGGCAGTCCCCTCTCAACGTGGTACTGTCTCTGCCTGCCCACTCGCTGCTACCTCTTTTTCTGCAAGAAGCGAAGAGCTCGCTCGCACCTCGGACGACAGGCTGGCACAGCGTGTTGCGAGGCTGTTGTCTCTTTGTGCCTTGCCTGCGCATGCAGCGGCCAAACAACAATTCCTTGCACGGGAACGGCGGAGATGTGGAGGCTGCTGGGGCTTATTAGGCATGCGCTGCAACAAGGTATCCGTCAGAGGGCACTGCAGCAGACTCCTCATCTGCTGCTGCTCTCGCCAGTGTGGTATCAAGACCACCTCAAACCCCTTCTCGCGCAGTGGCTGAGTCTTTTCTTTGCACTCAAGAAGTTGGCGGGAATTTCTCACGACCAGCAGCAGCAGTACATTGTAAGTGCGCAGCGACCCTTTCGGAAAGCTGCACGAAAACAGTAGCGCTGAGCAAGCCAGAGGCAGGGAAAGAGAGAGGGAAAAAAGAGGGGGACGCACGCGGATAGGGATGAGTCACAAGGGGTCTATAAGAAAAAATAGCAAGAGCACTTGGAAAGAACCGCGTGGAATGCTGTCAAAAGGGGCTGAGACGGGTGTTTAAGGAGCAGTCTATGCTGCTGCGCAGTTTTTTCTCGTTGTTTCGTGTGGGTTGTCTTTTCCAGATGCTGCCTGTTCACATTTGTCCCTCCAACCTGACGGGGAGCTGTTTCGTAGAGGGTGAAGGGACGTTGTATTCTGATCTGTTTGAAGCTGTGGAGAGGCTTCCGGAAGTTCACCTCAAGACGTTGAATCTGGCGAGGGAATGGCTGTGCTCCTTGTTGCCACACGCCTTACAGAAAGTGAACAGAGTGCAGTGCGTCACTGGCCCTTCGTTGCTGTCTCTCCGTTTGTCCTGCAGTGTATTTACCCTCTTGTTGCTGTTTTCTACGTTAACCCGAACTGTACTTTATCTCTAAGCTGGCATCTGTCTCATTACAATCCATTTTTCCTCAGTAGATACAGAATTGTGAGACCACCGTGGCTCCTCTCTCTCTTTCTCTCTCTCTCTCTCTCTGTCTCTCTCTCTCTCTCTCTCTCTCTCTCTCTCTCTCTCTCTCTCTCTTTTCTCTCTTTGCTCTCTCTCTCTCTCTCTCTCTCCTCTCTCTCTCTGTCCGTGTATGTCTCCCTTGCTCTCGTCCTATCTCTCTTCATATCTGGCTCCCTTTTGCCCTCTCTCCTCTGATACCACTCACGAGCTGTCCTCTCCGCGAAGACTAAC